CGTCAAGCAGTTGGTAGATGAAACACCATATTCCGGCACCAGTCCCGCCGTCACATATACCGCCCGGAAAGAAACCACACTCTACACAATTGATGCTCGCACTGGGAGTATCCTGCGGGTCTTCAGCTCCCGTGGACCATTCACAACAGGCCAGGAATGTCGGAAGGTGGACGGACAAGATTTGGACTCAGAGGAGTGCGAAACAAGTTCTGGTACCTTGGTGCTTGGTCGAGTCGAGTATGCCGTGGCCATTCAGAATACTGAGACTGGTGACCCGATCTGCACTTTGAAGTACTCGGAGTGGGCGCCCAATAACCGTGACATGGACCTCCAGAGCCAGTATGTCCGTACGATGGACCAGAGCCATGTCTACAGTATGCATGATGGAATTGTTTTGGGATTTGACCACTCTCGCATGGACCGCCCTCGCTATACGCAACGTTTCTCATCGCCGGTTGCACGTGTTTTCGATGTCGTTCGACCAGCCAACAAGGATGCACCAGATGCCTCGACGCCGCTGGTCCTCTTGTCACAGCCGCTGCAGCCGCCGGATCCCGACTACGGTCCTTTAGACGAGCGCGACATGCGTGTGTTTATTGATTCCACCAATGCTGGTGGATGGTATGCCCTGTCCGAAGAGACATATCCCCTCGTCACTGGTACTGCCCACATGGCTCCGGTGTATGATAAGGATTTCTTTCGTCGGGGCCAGTCTCTCATGAGCCTAAGCCCAAGCCAGCAGCGAGACGCACTGGCTGGCGTGCACTCATTGAATGGCCCACGAATCGTCCCGCCCATTCCTCGACTCACTGGCTCGTCTACGACCGAACTTTCCAACGACACTCCACGGGATGTTCTTCGCAGTCCCTCCGAACTGGCCCTTCCACCAGCTTTACGACACAGCACCATTATCCGCAAGAGCTGGGACAATGCGTTGGACATCGTTGTCACTATGATATTGTTGTTCATTGCCACATTCATCTATTTCAACTCGCACCATATTCGAGACCTCGCGAAGCAAAAGCTTGATATCAAAAACATCATCAACTCCAATGACAAGGGATCCATGTCGACACCAGCCACCCCGATTGTTGGCGGAACGCCGGATATGAAGCGAGCATCGACTCCAACTCGGCCGGTTCCTGATGTAACTGTGGACGTCAACCTGCCTGACTCCCCTGATGGCGATGCCACTCCCCGACCCTCCCGAGAGAGCAGTGTTCCCACAGGAACCTCGACCCCTCGGGTTCAATTCAACGACAGGGATGCGGACGTTCAAGAAAACGATAAACCGACAGGCAAGAGGAATCGCAAGCGCGGAACTCGTGGTGGGAAGAATCACAAACGTGGCAGAAAGCCTGGCACTGAGGGCGATGCGACTGACCAAGCCCAACAGGTCGTGGAGCAGGTCAATCGTCTAGCCCCACAGACTCGACTGGAACCCGATGTGCAGCTCACGCGCACAGTGTCGAACGAGATCACGGAAATGGATGGGGTCATTCGGATCGGACGACTGGAAGTCTTCACCGATACCGTGCTTGGACACGGCAGTCATGGCACTGTCGTTTTCCGTGGCTCATTTGACGGTCGCCATGTGGCGGTCAAGCGTATGCTCATGGAGTTCTACGATATCGCCTCTCACGAGGTCGGACTACTCCAGGAAAGTGATGACCATAACAATGTCATTCGTTACTTCTGTCGTGAGCAGGCGTCCGGTTTCTTGTATATCGGGTTGGAATTATGTCCGGCTTCTCTGCAGGACGTCACAGAGCGACCGACCCAGTTCCCAGAACTCGTTCAGGGCGGCTTAGACATGCCTGACGTACTCCGCCAGATCACACAAGGTGTTCAGTATCTGCATTCCCTCAAAATCGTCCATCGGGATCTAAAGCCCCAGAATATTTTGGTGGCCATGCCCCGTGGTCGAACTACGTCACAGGCGCTGCGACTGCTTATATCTGACTTTGGCCTGTGCAAGAAACTCGAGGACAACCAGAGCTCCTTCCGTGCCACCACCGCTCACGCTGCTGGCACCTCTGGCTGGCGTGCCCCTGAGCTTTTGGTAGATGATGACACCGGCCCTCTGAGTCTCGCATCGCAACATACGGAGTCCTCGGAGCCTGCTGTTGTTGACCCGCAGACCAATCGCCGTGCCACTCGAGCCATTGACATCTTCTCCTTGGGCTGTGTGTTCTACTACGTCCTGACTCGTGGTAGTCATCCGTTCGATAAGAATGGCAAGTTTATGCGCGAGGCCAATATCGTGAAGGGTCATTTCGACCTGGAGGAGCTGGATCGGTTGGGTGACTACGCTTTCGAGGCCGATGATCTTATTCGCTCCATGTTGTCTCTTGACCCACGCCGGCGACCCGATGCAAGCACGGTCCTGATGCACCCCTTCTTCTGGCCTCCGTCAGACCGACTCAGCTTCCTTTGCGATGTCTCTGATCATTTCGAGTTTGAATCTCGCGATCCACCGTCGGACGCATTGCTCTGCTTAGAGTCGATGGCCCAGGATGTGATGGGGCCGGAGATGGACTTCTTACGCTTGCTCCCTCGGGATTTCAAGGATAACCTGGGCAAGCAGCGCAAGTACACTGGCTCGCGGATGCTGGATCTCCTACGTGCTCTCCGCAACAAGCGCAACCACTACAACGACATGCCCGAGTACCTGAAGGCGCATATCGGAGGCCTGCCAGAGGGTTATCTCAACTTTTGGACGGTTCGCTTCCCTAGTCTGTTGATGAGCTGCCACTGGGTTGTCACGGAGCTGGGCTTGACACAGATCGACCGGTTCCGTCGATATTTCACTCTACCTGAGTAGCTATGTTCAAATGTTGTAGATATACAATAATCCGAAAATTCATATAAAAACTAAAGTCCTAGTCTTTTTCTTTCATTTCGGCACAATTTAGTGGATACCCAAGGCACTGCTCTACTCACTACCCAATAGAATAATAGAACTATCTATCAAATCTAGATAGAAGTGATTTGAACGATCTCCAAGGGGAAAGTGAAAGAGATTAGAGGGAGTAGACTGCGCCAAATCCCATAAATAAGTTGTTATTAGATGTTAACGTAATTCTCACCAAGCCCGCCACCCCAGTGACCAACTCCATTAAATACGCTCCGTCCGCCCCTTCTCGTTCCCTCCTTCCTTCCAAGTAATAACGATCCGGCATGCCGCTTATACAGTGGTGCAACCAGAGTTCGCGGGGGTGGGGGGGGGGGGGGGGGGGGGGGGTTCCCTCCTATATTCACCGCCACGAACAGCCTGTGGATGATGTGGAATCCGTCACTCGCGGTTGGAGGCACTTTGTTCGTGAGCATTGGGCCGACGACGTTGCCGCGGATCAACTAAGACGAGTTCTGATCGCACGATGGGCAACCGCAGACCAGGAGATGCGCGGTGTAGGTTCTACACCTATTATTCCTTGAATTTATCAGAACAGTTGTCATTAAACTTACACTTAGATAGTGCCATAAAACCTGAGCGTTAGAGGATAAGCCTCCTTTTGAGGATACTGCAAAAATATGAAACACGTTACCTAAGACTGAGCCTACTAATCTAGAAGAAGGGCGTTTATGTTTGTGGATATATTGATTACAATCTCAACGATATCTATATCTATATCACCGAATGGACTCCTGAGAAGCAAGCTCTACTCGCTAAGTGCCTCCGAACATGGTCCCATTAGAGGCCGCACTAGATCATATGGGGGAGCAAGAAGAGCATGATGACCCAGGTGTGGTTCTGGAGGATGAGTCTTGCCGAATGTATAAGCCGGAGCAGTCGAGCTGAAACACGGGACATTGGACCAGCTGATGCCCGGCGTGGACTACCTTTTTTTTTGGCGAAATACTACACCCGGCTGGCAAATGGCCAATTTGTATGTCGAGGGTCGAAGTGAGGCAACCAGTAGATCGCTAATTCTTTTGATAAAATTGGAGCAAGTCTAAAGAAAGTTGGATTACGCCAGATGACGCGATCATGGCACAGAACATCGCTGTTGAATCATGTCACCAGTCACGGCAAATAGATATACTGATCAACCATCAAATTCGAGATTCCCAAGAGGTCAAAATGGACAAATCATACATGTGAGAAATCAAAAAAGTAAACTTGAGCAAGCAGCCAAGACCACTACTATGAGTATCTGCAACATTGAGTTTTGAGAGAACCGGCCCGCGAATGAACACTTGCACACTCAGAGATAAGCTAATATGGCCGCGTAGGCACGCCATGGCCAATTCATAGACTATTCATCTCTCTATCCGAGGATACCCCGAAGATACTAGTAGGTGCTTGGCATAGGAGGATCTGGACTCCAACGTAGTAGAAGCAACTGGCACTAATTAAAGATGTTGGGGTGAAACGCCCCCCCACCTTGGAAAACAACTGTGCTTATCATTTGTAGGTCATGAGATATATCCCTCAAAATAGATAAGACAGGCAGAAGATAAAATGATGTTCCATCTGGACGCGGGGAACCATAAGATCATTAAAATATATGTTATGTGGGGTTGCATGACTTCCGAAAGATGCCCGGTCTTCCGAATCATGCATCCCAAGCCAAAAAAAAGGGGGAAGGGGAGGGGGGCGGGTGCAAACTAGAGTCTCCACTCAATTATTCGATTGCGAAACTCATGGCTATATATTATCAATGACCCGAGAGCTTGAGGACTCGAGGACTTGCTGTACCCTTCGCAGAAGGAAATTCAATTTCTTATCTTTTGCCAATTTGCGTCAGAGGCTTGCATGAATCGGCCAAAGGTACTGTTCCGTTTTAGCTCTCTCAGCCTGACTTAAGTAGTCTACATTAGTGTTTCTGTCTCTCGGAGATGGCGTTTTCGTTATCTCGGGTGGATCTATCGTGACCATTGCATACAGGGCTTGACCAAGCCTTATAAAAAGTGGTCGTCTTCCAAGTAATAATTGCATTGATTGAGTTCCAAATCAATTGTACCCAAATTACCAATCATCCCACTCAATGTTGAACATGTCATATAAGGTACCATCCGAAAGCGCGACGAAAAATCCGGATATATCGGAGACCCAAACCACAGATGTGGAGGTAGAAGACGCTCAGCAAGACCCGAAAGCCTGGTTGTATCAATCCGATAGATCAGAGATAACAGAACTTACACCCGTCGAAGCATTCAAGTGGAATGTTGAAGGAGACCAATCACCTTGTAAGTTCACCAATAGACTCCAGATGTCTATGAGTTGATATTGATAGTTCAAAGTTCCTGAGGTTGCGGCTTGTGTTTCCAATAAAGATGATCCGACGATGGTTTGCAATAGTAAATCTCTCATTCAATAACAATTGGCATAGACAAGATACCTAACTGACCAACGCAGCTGTCCGGGCCTGGATATTAATGACGATCTTTGTCATACTCTTCTCCGGTGTCAATCAGTTCTTCGGCCTGCGATATGTCAGATTGTCTTTCACTAACGGTATATGGTGACTAACGGATCGTAGCCCTCTCTCTCAATCGGCTACGTTGTGGCTCAAATCCTAGTCTTTCCTATCGGTCGAGCATGGGAAAAGCTTCCTAGGTGGAGGGTGCCTCTGGGAATGTTCTCATTTGATATCAACCCAGGGAAATTTACTCTCAAAGAGCATGCCTTCATCGTTATTGTGAGTACCATTAAAATCTGTTAAGGAGAACAATTGGCTATGTCCAATCTAATCGATTACAGTGTGTTAATATCAGCGCTTCCACCGCATATGCCCAGGGTGCTTTGGTGGCAATTGTCAGTCCGGTGTATTGGAATCGTGACTTTGGAGCTGGATTCTCCTTTCTATACCTTTTGACAACTCAAATGATAGGGTAAGTCTATTCCACAGTCTTTATCTGGAAACACTAAAAATTCCTAGATTCGGTCTTACAGGTCTTGCTCGCCGATGGATCGTTTACCCTGCTGCCTTAGTCTGGCCAACATCGCTGTCTTCGACTGTTCTCTTCCGGGCACTGCATGAGCCCGAAAACCGTACGCCAGCTAATGGCTGGACAATTACCAGATATCACTTTTTTGGCTACGTGACAGTCTTTGCGTTCGTTTTGTTCTGGTTTCCTGACTATATCTGGACAAGTTTGAGTACATTTGCTTTCATTACGTGGATTGTGCCTCATAATCAGAAAGTGAACACGTTGTTTGGGGTAGGTACAATGCTTAGAACCCTAGGATGATGACGCCTGGGGATCAAATGACTGATTAGATACTCAGATGAATTCCGGCTTGGGTATGCTACCTATAAGCATCGATTGGACACAGATAAACTATGCCGGCTACCCACTTACAACCCCTTTCTACATCACCTGCAATGCATTTGCGGTTGTTGTGCTATTCTACTTCGTCGTGGCTCCTATTCTGTATTATGCAAATGTATGGGATAGTGCATAGTAAGTCCCCAACTTGATAATGCGCATTTAAATACTAAACAGACAGCCTTCCGCTCCTTTCATCAAGCACATTCGACAATACGGGGGGCTCATACAATGTGTCTCGAGTGGTCGATTCAGCTTCGAATTTTGTCGAGAGCAAGTACAAAGAGTATTCTCCAATGTACCTTTCCATGTCTTATTCTATCACATACGGATTATCTTTCGCTGCAGTGACGGCAATCGTGCTGCATACCTATCTCTACAATGGCTCCGAAATCTGGGCTAGGCTCAAGAACGCACAGCATGGAGGTGAAGATGTCCATCGACGACTGATGCGTGCATACAAAGAAGTTCCAGATTGGTGGTACGGCGTTCTCACACTGTTGGTGCTAGGGCTGGGTATCTTGACGATCAAGTTTTGGGATACAGAATTACCAGTGTGGGGCTTCATCGTGGTTTGTTTCGGATTGGCAGCGGCTCTGATAGTGCCTGAGGGAATCCTCCAGGGGACAACGAACCAACGCGTATTTCTCAATATTATCACGGAGATGATCGCCGGATATGCCTGGCCGGGAAAGCCAATCGCTAATTTGATGGTGAAGTGCTATGGTTATAATGCGGTCAAGCATGGGATGGACTTTGCGCAAGATTTGAAGCTTGGGCAGTACATGGTATGTTATGCATGCCTTATTATTGCTCTACATATGCTCATTGCCTAGAAAATACCCCCACGTGTTCTATTCTTCGGTCAGATATATGCTAGTATTCTAGCAACAGCAACCCAGACTGGAGGTATGATTTCTTATGAAGGGCTTTGGGTTTTATTTTCAAGCTAATAATGATAGTCTTGCGATGGATGCTGGGACATATCACCGATCTCTGTGATCCAGATAATAAGCAACGCTTCACATGCAGTGGTGCCAAAGTAATGTACAATGCCTCCTTAATCTGGGGGACCATTGGTCCGCAACGAATGTTCCAGTCCGGACAAGTATACAACAGACTTGTTTACTTTTTTCTCATCGGAGTGAGCTAGCCAGGCTCAGTCAATTTCCCAATCGATTGATGCTGACTTTACTACTAGCCCGTTGTAACTGGAATAGTATATCTCCTTTACCGCCGCTACCCCAATAGCTGGATTCGCTACGTGAACGTCCCAATCTTCTTCAACTCAGCGGGTAATATACCTCCCGCCACTACCAGTATGATCCCAGCCACTTGCAGTATATATGGTGAAACTAATAAACTAGCTCAATACTCCCTTTGGTTCATCGTCGGCTTTGTTTTCAACTATCTGATCCGCAAGCGGGCTTTTGATTGGTGGAAGCGTTATAATTGTACGACTTCAGTCTTTCCTTTCAAGATAAGAGTACTAACCAGTTTGTAACGCAGATTTGCTGCAAGCATCTATGGATACTGGCACAGCCATTGCAACAGTCCTTATTTTCTTCGCGCTCGGATACCACTCAATCGCGTTCAACTGGTGGGGAAACACAGTGGGAGCGAATACTGATGATGAGCATTCTGTTCCTTGGTTGACAGTTCCGACGGGAGGTTATTTCGGGAAGGGACCCGGAGAGTTTTGATTCTAGGTTTAGTCCAGTTTAAGATGGGTGAAATGTGGTCCACCTTATTATCCGGCCCGGGAGCCGAAAACTAGTACCTTGTATGTTGAGAGAAGATTGAATCCCCCGAATTTCACCATGAAAGCAAAGTCCACAGGTTCGAAATATTATGAGAAAATGGCGAGAGTTTAAAGGAGAACCACTTCGCAGCCTCTGAATAATGCGCATGAAATTAAGGTTGAGACATTAAGGTTGAGCCCGATAGTGTTTAGCGCAGTGGCTTAATACAAGAGTATTTTAATTTGATGACCTGCACTCAAGTCATTTACTTGTCCCAATTTCAAACACGATCTCAAACATCGAATGGCCTCACAGCCCTTATAGTGACCAGATAACCTGGATACAAAGAAAATAACCACTTATGTATCCTAATCTCTGGTATGCACCAGCTTGCCCTGAACCCACACATTCTTCACATTCCGGTCATCACCGCTCCACATCCACTTCTGAATCTGCTCCTGCCACGTCTCATTGCCAAACAAATCAACATTACCCACCGGGCCAGACATAGGAAGCGTCCGACCTGCGAGGCTTCTCACAGGCGCCGCGTCAAGCGGACTCACGGTGTTATTTTGCACAGCACCCAGCTCAATCAGCTGCGCATCCCAGATCATCCCTTGATCAAAGCCGCCGATGTCATCTGGCATGTCAACAACTGCGGCACCGCCTCGCGTGGCCAGGTAGAGAGCATCATCAACTGTGAGTTTCTCGCTGCCATCCGATGTTGTGTTACCTGTCATCTCTTGGTACTCGGCGCTATACGCAAGCAATCGAGAAACCAAAGCGGCCTGTCTAGCCACTTCAAGGATACTAGGGCTATATCCGCCGCTCACATCTGTACCTAGACCAACCGTGAGGCCTTCATCGAGCATAACACGGACAGGAGCCAGACCGGAGCCTAGGGCGGAATTGGACGAGGGGCAGTGAGCGACCTTGGAGCCCCGCTCTCGGACGAGAGTGCGCTCATCCTTAGTGAGGTGCACGCCGTGTGCGAGGATGGTACGATTCGTCAACAGATGAGCCTTGTCATAGACATCGGCGTAACTAGCTGCCTCCGGGAACAGCTGGTGGACAAGGGCAATTTCGTCGAGGGTCTCACATATATGTGTTTGGATGTGGAGAGGCGGACTGTAGGATGCAGCCAGCTTCCCGAGGCCTTCAAGGGACTCATTTGAGCAACTTGGGGCGAAGCGAGGGGTAATGATTGGGTTGATCAATGTTCCATCTGGGTCGAGGGTCTGGATGTAGTCGATTGTTGACTTCGTCGCGTTGAAGCCCTCCTCGGCAGATTGGTCAATGTAATAAGAGGGGCACTGATCAGGGTTATCCATGCAAACACGGCCGATGAATGCACGTTGGCCATGGGAATGACAAAGCGCGGCGAGGGCGTTGGTGGCCGGAACATGTATGGTGGCGAAATAAGATGCGCATGTTGTCCCATGAGCAAGAGTGCGCGCGACCACTTCGTCGTAGACACGTAGAGCTTCCGGCGGCGTGTCTTTGGGATTTGTGTCTTGATTCTTTGGATCTGACTTGGCGCCGAAGCTAGCTTCGACGGGAAAGGTGTATTCATTCAGCCAGTCCAGAAGGCCTGACGATCCGAACAGCCCAATATTGGGGAACTGCGGTGCGTGGATGTGCGTGTCTACATGGTCAGTACCGATTGATAGCCCTTGAGGTAGACAGAACTTACCGATGAATCCGGGAAAGAAGAACTCATTTCGCTCATCGTTTGACTCTATGACCACGACACTGGAGGATGAGTTTTCATTGCCCTCGGCAATAGTCCATCCGTGGCTAGACAAGAATGATTGAAAGCTGGCATCATCACGGACTTGCCAGTCATATCCTTTGATCCGACCATCCTCAGAAGAGACCCAGAGAACACCTTGGTATCGAGCGAGCTCCGGTTTCACCGAGCTCGAATTGAGCCGAGGGAGATGAACGAAGGTACCGCGATATACGGTGTATGGAGTTGCCATGCATGCATCAAGCAATGCAAGACACATACATAGTGCAGGAGCCACCACAGAAAATTTGGCAATGTTCAGAATCATTGTATAAAATAGTGCTAATCGATCTTGACTGCTTGAATCACTCTAGAACCGTGAGGACACCGCAGACTAATATATCGCGATCGATGCCTCGGAAATTAAGGGCCGTGACAGTGGCATTAGAAGAAACAAAACCTTGAGATACACCGCGGCGAGTGACGGCTGAGCCTGCTAGATTGGAAGAAGATCTTCATCGCTGGATTGGTGTTTGGCGATCCCTTAAAGTTCACTGTTTCATGTCGTGATCAGGAGATGGCAGCATCAGCGGAGTCTGAACATTGCGAGTATTTTGGGCTCGGTGTTCGCCTGGTTCCGAATGAGTTTGTTTCCTGCTGAGATATAAGAAAGAAATGGCAGGTCCTTCCGAGCACTTCAGGGCTCTGGGATTGGGGCAATTGTGATGTGCCGTGCTGTGCCCTGGCTCTTGAGATTTCGCTGACTCTTCTATTCTCTGGCCTTTGATCTATGAGGGCATGACAAACCCAAGACAATACGCACGCTTAAAGATTCTGGTCCCCGAAATTGCTGCGATGTGAGTGTTGCTTTGAAATCAAAGCGATCCCCCGAGAAGGAGCAAATGATCGGTATATTTTGTTGTGCCGACAACCCGGACGGATCTTCCATTTTGCCATGCATCCGGCCACCTGGGCGATCGTAGCGTTGGAATCCTGATCCACTAGAAGAATCTGGAGGAAGGTACCTGCTGCCGTTGATTCTTGAACGAGCGCCAGTTACCAATCGAATGCAACATTTCCAATTGCTCAAATCGATGACAGTCGTCTGCTACCACCGGATCCTCTCAGTTTGCAGACTCGCCCCAATCGGCTAGGAGTGGCTCCTACACGAGAAAAGACCAACTGATCATCTAAATATTCGCCAGATACAGCCGCCAAGACATCGTGGTAGAGATGCCGGGTCATTCCGATCAGATCGCGGGGAGGAGAACGCCAAGCACGGGTGAGAATTAATCCCGGGGCTTCTAGCATGCCAAGACAGGCATCTGGGAAGTGGTTGAGGTCTGGAGCCTCATCTCCCGGGGCTTCCCTGTGGCCCAGAATATCCTTCGAGCACTCGTCGGGCTCATTGCTCCACGGTGACCGCCGACGACCGAGATGAACGCGACTCAATTTACCACTACTCGCCATTGTGTATGTTAGTAAAAGACCTTTATATCAGCACTGACGCAGTAAACTATTATTCCACGATCAGATCAAAATCTTACTACCAACTCCACTCCGCGGGTATCATTGTACTCAGTTTATACCACTTTACACCACTTTACCATGGGCTTGAAGCCCTACCTCGGCCTTCGTGGCAATGCTCTCCTCAGAGCAGCAGTCATACTCGTTGTTTGTCCGACTTTCACCTGTTATGGATATAATATGAGCGTGGCGGGTGGTCTTTTGACACTTGACACTTTCAATAACCAATTCCCTCGTATGGATACAATACACACAACCGGAGCATTGCAACATGAAAACTCAACTATTCAAGGTGGGTCAAAATGCGATAAAATGCCCTTCTCTTCTAATCCAAAGAGTGTAAACAGGCACTGTTATCGCTCTTTATACCGTGGGCGGTATCTTCGGAGCTCTGTCATGCGTCTATCTAGGTGATCTTCTAGGACGAAAGAAGGTCATCTTTTGGACCAACTTTATCACCATCATTGGTACTGTTTTGATGGCCACTTCCTTCGATTTTGCCCAATTCATCGTGGCAAGACTAGTCCTTGGTCTAGGCATAGGTGGGTACGTCGCTACTGTGCCAGTGTGGCAGTCTGAAATATCACCAGCGCACAAGCGAGGTTCCAATGTCGTTACAGACGGCATTTTTGTTGGCGCCGGTGTCACTCTGGGTCTATGGATTGATCTCGGCTTTTATTTTGTGAAGGATAACTCTGTATCGTGGCGATTCCCTCTCGCCTTTCCTATTGTCCTGAGTTCCATGGCTATGATTTTTATTCCCATGCTTCCAGAATCTCCTCGCTGGCTCATCAAGACTGGTCAGCTCCAGGAAGCTCGGGATGTCCTTGCAGCTCTCCTTGAGCTCGAACCCGACTCGGAAACGATCACCAATAGTATCCATGAGGTCGAAACTACCCTCGCCGTCTGCGGAAATACCTCCTGGACCTCTATGTTCTCAAATGGAGAGCAGCGCCTCTTTCATCGCGCGTATCTTGCAGCGACCGGTCAGCTGTTCCAGCAAATATGCGGTGTGAATTTGATCACCTACTACGCCACTAATATCTTCCAGGTGAGTTGATGCCCATGATCCCTCTTTCCTGGGTACATCCAGCTCTGGCTCCATACAATCCGCGGAAGGACTTCACACCTTCGAAATATTCTGTCCTAACAATCTTCTAGCAATACCTGGGTATGGACGCCGTGAAGTCCCGCATCCTCGCTGCGGCAATGGGTCTAATGCAGCCCCTCGGCGGTTTCTTTGCCTTTTATACCATCGACCGGCTCGGCCGCCGACCGCTCATGCTATGGAGTGCAGGAGCTATGTCTATTTGCATGGCTATTCTTGCCGGTACAACATCTCCCCAAGCTGCGAACAGCACTGCGGCCCTCGTGGTAGCAGTAATCGCACTCTATTGCTTCCAGTTTATCTTTACAGTTGGATACTCTGGCCTTACCTTCCTCTACGCTGCTGAGATGGCTCCGTTGCAGGTGCGTGCTGCCGTCAGTGCCATCTCCACTGCCACTGTCTGGGTGTTCAACTTCCTTCTCGCTGAAGTGACTCCTGTCGGCTTTGCCTCTATCGGGAACAAGTACTACATTGTGTTTGCCGTGGCAAATGCTATCATTGTGCCCTCTGTGTACTTCTTCTTCCCTGAAACCAAGGGGCGGTCACTTGAGGAGATCGACGAGATTTTTGCCCAGTCGAAGAGTATTTTTGACCCGCCTCGAGTGGCACGCCGCATGCAGGCCATGCAGGCCATGCAGGCCAGTCGACCTGATTCGAAGAGCGGCGACGAGCATCATGAAGATACGAAGGAAGATATCAAGGTTTAGATAAGGTAATCGCATGTATACGATCAGTTATCATATTATGTATGAATTTCGAGCCATTAGACTATTTATCTTGGTGGAGGGAAACACAGGAACTTGAGATATTGGGTCTTGTGTGTAGCAATATGGAATTGATACGTATGGGTATCCGAAATTCCACTCATTATTACTCTTTCGCGTCTATATGCAATGGTCGAGTCATAACCTCCGAGCAAAGCACCCGTGGACCCGGTGCCCTCGACCGCTCTATACAAGATGTCTAATTATAAACCCCGTAGCAAATGCGCCGACCGTAATATCCGAGGCTGAAAGTTGCTTGGTCTACCTGGGTCTATTTTGGCGCTGCACCCTTCCAGAACAGCCAGCCGAAGGCCGCGACGAATTTCAGTCCCGCAGCCATCCACAGTGCCGACTCCATCCCACCGCTGCTACGACTCAGCCAGCCGCCCGCGATTGCACCCACCAGCAGCGCCACCACACCTCCGATACGACGGTTGCGCTTGACGTTGGAGTTGGGCTTGTCCGTGATCTTCGGGTCCGAGGCAATATCGAAATATACACTGGTGAGAACCACAGTGGGAATCTCGTTGAAACCGAGTGAGCGGCTGCAAGTCATGGCACCGGCGGACTGGAAAGCGAGCAACGCGATGGGGATCAACTCTAGGAAGAGGGGGCCTCCATCCAAAGACGAGTCTTTTGAGGTGTGGGGGATCAGGTCGGCCTGAATCAAAGCCACGGCGATAATGATCAGGATGGTCTGTAGGAGGAAAGAAGCGAAGAGGGTGCCGCGACGGAGAGCACCTACGCGTCGCATGACGGTGGAGAAGATCATGGCACCGGTGAAAAAGAAAGTGATGGAGATGAGCGACTTGAGCCAGCCCCAGGGCTTGCTAGTAGGCTGATTGGACGCACCGAGGCCGAGGAAGATGGTGTTTCCTGTTCACGCATAGATTAGTATGGGGAGGCAGGTTTCAGGGATCACCGTGAGTCATACCAGTTTGCATCCCCAGGAAGCAAGACCAGGCATTGTAGGCGCTGCTGTCACATAGACCGGTCAGGAAGCAGAGGAGCAGACAAACTAGGTCCGCATGGGTCGTGTCCACGTTCTGCATCCAGCCCCTCGTGAGGGTGGACTGGGGCTTGTCTGGCGAAGGTCTAGCCTCGAGATCGGGTTGAGTGGTTTTCTCCATATCTGAGAGGATCGCACAGTTCAACAGAGTCCAGAGCGCTAGAGTCCCGTGGCCTATGGCCTGTGTTTAGTGTCCGGTGTGCAAGGGAGGGTGAAGAGGATCGGGAAATGAGAAATAGACCGGGAAAGAACAAGACAACGGAGAGATGCCCGAGGCAAACACAATTTTACCCGCATTTCGACTCCACCCCGATTAATGGACGGTCCATGACTGGTTCGTGATGGCATCAGGGGTCCTCTCCTTTCGTAGGGCTGAATCTCGTGCAGATATTTGCCATGTTTTCACTTTCGTTAGGTCCGTGTCCCGTCCAACCTAGAACACGGTGAGGAGGGAAACCATGAGACGACGGTCAAAATGGAATTCCACTAAGGATACGGTCATGTGCAACGCGAGTACATAGTAGTATCGGGAGTGCAGGTACAGTAGCCACTCGTTACAGGTGGAGGTAACCTACAGTATGAGAAGAGTGAATTCGTGGGTCGTGAATTTGGTTGTGCTGCCTGAAAAGCCAGGCAATAATAATTTCCCAATCAGGACTAGTGCCTGGCAACATCTCCGAAGTCAATCTCCGGCGTTCTTTTTCATGTTGCGCCCAAGTCGACCATGCGACGCCATCCACAGAGCGCCCTCGCCCTTTGGCGCTCTCAATTATCCCCATCTGTCTCTCGCCCGATCTCTCTTCGGTTTCAAAGCTCCCATGACGCCCCTCGACACCTAGACCGGACTCCAAGACGCCAGTGGCAGACACGTGAAGGCCAAAAACATCTGCTCGAAGTCGACTCCCTAGGGAAACCAGGCGAGATCGTGGTGGTATCTGATTTGCCTCGTGAGAATGCTAGAAATAGACAGAAGAAGCGGAATGATGCGGCCGAGGATGCAGAGCAGATGACACTGAGCTCGATGTTGGATGCCCTCGATGAAGAGGCGTCGGACCTGACGGCCAGTGCGGTCGATCATGCTTTTGAAACATTTCGTGGAACACTTCGGCCCAATGATACGTTGACTCCCGTTGAATGGGAACATCTGCGATCAAAGCTTGTGTCGTCGTTCACCTACACCCAACTATCCGACTACATCGCTGAGTTCCGAAGCAAGTTATCCGGTACCGATGAAAACACGGGCAAATGGAGGCCAGGGACATCTATGTTCTTACACACAATTCCTGAGGGTACAAGGGACAACATCACCAGTCGCGTTGCGACTTCGCAGGATCTGAAGGGGAAGTCTCTTATGGCAGAGCAGATTCTACGAAACTGCTGGCAACTATCGATTGTGAATGAAGTCGGTCAGCTGGATCTTCGGCTGCCATCGGTGTCCACTGTGCTGCTTTTAAATGCAGAGCACTTCTCGTTTGACGAAGTGGCCAGCCTTCACGGATCAAGCATTGACATCACGAGCTCCCTGGGCCTCGTCAGAATCACCGGAAAGAAGTACGCTTGTGAATCCATTTGCGAAGTCATTCTTGACGCCACCACCAGAATTCGTGATCAAGATATCGATATCGAGGTCGATAAAGTGACCTCGGCTCGGGTTTTCGGTTCGGAATTCCTTGAATGGGTGGGGAAGACCTATGGAGTTGCCTTTAATAAAGGGTCGTCTCGCGTGCCGGATAAGATCCTCTACCTTGCGGAGAACAAGCGCGGCGCCGACGAGGCTTGGAGGACGCTCAATTTGGCCATCAATGAAAACAAGCCTGTTCAGCTTCCTTTCTCCTCCTATCTGCCGGCGTCCGAACAGGCCAGTGTCTACCATATAAACCCCGGGGAAAACGCCTCCTGGTTCAACAGACAGTTGTCATGGTTCCGCTGGGCTATGTCTAGTACTCAAAGTGCGGAGGCAGCACCGTCCAGTCCAATTTTTGATTCCCACCAGACCAGACTCTCGAATGCGTTGTTGAAGCTACTTCGCACTAGTCTTCCCACCAATGCTGAATCTCCAACGAGCTCACATGTGCATGAATCCGTGACCGCTGCCGCTGGGAGATGTCTTTTTGCTCGAAAAGCCTCATTCGAGGAAAGTGTCCTGACTGCCCCGCAGCTGGGTGCGCTTTCCCTTCCTCGAACTTTCACAACAGAAATTCCTCGAATTGCGCCTTTCCTCGAGTCACTTCCTCTTCGGTCGAAAGAAGCGGCTCGGAAATACGACATTCGCTTGACACCGTCTGCTCGCTTTGTGGATATCGTGCCCCAACTTGACGTCGAGATCATCGTCACCCTTGCAGACACGACCGGAGCAGAGGACATAATCGAGGTGCAAAGTGTGAAATCAGTCTTTAGCACCAACAGCGTCGACTATCTTTTACCGGAGAATGGCTTGGACTTGCGCTTTACCCGCACAGTCGGCCGTAAGGTCTCGAGTGAGACCCTGACGGGGTCATCGCATTACGAACCCCTTGTGCAAAGCATCAATGAATCTTTACAGGGCGTGTTTGTTTCTGGAAACTCCTCACTTGGGTCCGTACCTCTGCCTCCGTTCTGTCAGATTTCAGTCCCCAGTGATCTTCAGTCGTTGGGTGACCCGATCTCGAACGACCACATCATTGCTGAGTACCTGCTACCCCCACTGAACGACATCAAGGGTGCAATGACTCAGTTGTATGGCTTTGATGGCAGGCCATTGTCCTACCGTTTCTACGAGAGCGGGCCGTTCCTTGCTGCTCGAACCACGGAGCTATTCTTGAATATGGAGCTTCCGGACGCCACCTTGAGGCTTGAACCTAATCTGTCCCAAGAATCTGTCGAAGATGACTTCCATGCATTCTACAATGCTGCATGCAAAATGGCGTTTAAAATTCACAAAGCAAAATTCGAGACCTCGGATGCTCTCTAGAATGTGTTAGGTTTTACCTCCTCTTCTGTATAATACTTGTACATTACGCATATATCGGCGAGGCGTTTTTGCATAAGCAACTCTTCTTGAAAATAACAATTGAATGAACAGTTGGTCTCTTGACCAGTATCTTACTTTGGTTCTCGATAATATCATGTAGTATATTCCATACAGCCCAAACTCCTGGGATCCTCGGATCTAGTTGAATACCTAATAAATGCCTTCCCCCTTAATCTCAAGTGTTATGAGCAAACGCCGTCCAGTCGAGCCTGAATCGTCTTTTCATCAAATCGTCCACTGTCGCCCTCGTAGTTACGCAAGACCTCCAGGGTCATCAACCTTCGAGGGGCTTTGCGGCCGGTCATCAATTCGAACTGAGCAATTCCCTGCTCAATCACATTCTCCAATCCATCCGATAAAACCCACGACCGTCCGGTATCACTCCGGATGCGACGCATCTGTTGTAGGAGAGGGGTGTCGAGAGGCTTATAAGCCAGCTGTAAAATAGGTTAGCATTGAACGGAGAGATGTTAATTTGGAAAGACTGACTTCTAAAACCACTCCCCCAGTTGGACTTCCTAGCCACTGCAGGGGCATCTCGAAGTTCGCCGGAGGCTCGTTACGGTCCGGGTCGGCGGGCACACATGAGGCGATGAGACTAGGTGGACTGGCATCGTCAGGCCAATCATCCTGAGTCGAACGCAAAACTAGGACGACTTCGGCCGAGTCAACCTGAGAAGATGCCCATGAGTTGAAGTGCCGGGCAACTTCCTCCGCCCGTGAAAGAGTTCGGTTGTAGATGAATATTTTTCGACAGCCCAGACGGAGCATTGCATAGATGGCAGACCGGGCCATACCGCCGGCTCCAATCACCAGACCGGTGGTCTTCGCACTGATCGCATTGCGAGGCGACAGATGGCGAGTTATGCAGGTCATGATGCCTACCCAGTCCGTATTCTCTCCATACCAGCCGAGCACCGGCCCTGCCTGGTTGCGTCGACTAGCCTGCTCCTGGAGAGTGAACATTGTGCCATCCGGATGTCCTCGCAGCGGCATGATTGTGTTGATTGCGCCAATGGCTTCGGCATGCCGGCTTTTGGCTGCAAGTTTGTGATAGACTTCCACTCGCCACGGCTGGACGACACTGGACCCTCCGAAATTTGGATCCCGGCGCAATTCATCCAACGCTGCCAGCGACGGAGACTTGGGAATCCTGTAAACGTGGCTCATACCGCAATGTTGGATGGCCGCATTATGCATGGCAGGCGACAAACTGTAGGCCACACTGGCTCCGAGAATACAGAACTTCAGCGGATCAAGCACATAGCTCTGGAAAAGTGCTCGGACAGCGTCGCGCGACGTAATCTGGGAGTCCCGCCCGTTCTCCATCTTTCGGGTGATGGCAGGGTGTGTGACCCCAGTCAAAATCGAATTAAACACTTGTGATGTCCGCCCAAGGCGTCCGATATTGTAGGCAATCAGTGGCGGGTGCTCTCCCGAAAGCGAGCGGATTTTGTTGGCAAACTCGACGACTGTCGCGTTTTCCTCGCGATTGGTTGCTACTCGGAGGAGGCGAACTAGTTGGCATCCAAGCTTCTCTGCCTCATGGTAGAGGGCAACAGCACCTTCATCTTCCCATTTCACGCTTGAGGATGATTCAAAGATGTGCTGGCCGATGATCTTGGTCTTACCCCGGGCGCGAATGATATCGGCTAATTGGGATTTATCCTTGCCAAGATCCAGAACCAAATATTCCACTGCGAGACGAAGACCATGCTCGAGAATTTTGAAATAGGACGCAGGTTGATCCTGCTCACTGATTCCAGATGTTGATGTGTCGATCGAGAGAATCACGGGAGTCCGCGCATTGCGGCGCAATTGCGACACCTGCTTGCTGATCACATTGGCCATGTCGGGCCCCCAACGGTCGACGCAAAGTTCAATGGCATCACCGCCAGATTCCAGTTCTGTTAAACTCACGTTGTCATCAATCATATCGGAGGAGCGGACGAGGATAGCATGGGTGAAGGAACGAAGCTCTGGAGGTGTTTCCAGCAGGACGAATGGTGAGTCGTAGCTTGAATGGTTGACATCGACCCCAGTTATGAAGCGAACAAAACGGGTGAGATCCTCCTTGACCTCTTGTAACTTGAAAGAATAGGCAGCGGATCGCGGATCGGGACTCCCGTCATCTGATATGATGCGAGTGCGGTCCTCGACATTGTAGAATTCGAAGTTGGAGCATGTTCGGTGGAGGGGGTCGCCATCCCGCAGAAGCCGTACCGCCTGGTCTTCGAGGCCTAGGAGTTGTTGAATTCGATCGATGTCACGGACGATGTGGACCACTGGGTTCGTGGTGGAATAGCGTCGCAAGTGATCTTGCACAGGTCGTGTAAGACTTCCCAGTCCACACTCAATCACACATCCAGATTGGTGGTTGTCCAGCATAAGTTTGAGGACCTCAATATCGCGACGTTGAAATTCCTGGCTTCCGTGGAGCTTGAGATATTCCGATCGTGCCATGCCCGTGATTTCCTTGAAGTAATGGTCTTCGGTAATAAAGCGCCGTTTGAGGGCTGTAGCCGCGACAAAGCCTAGCGAGCGCTTGCCACAGCCCCTGATGCCAACCAAGACGAGTGAAGCATCGGGCTTGAAGGTTCGAGGTGCAGAGGCCGGAGGATGCATGGTGGAGAGATCTTTCGATTGAGATGGGGAGGTGGGCTCGGTGTCGCGAACGCGGGAATGGCAGTCGAGCATGATGGAAGCTACTAGGGAATGAGAGCCATGGCGCGAACTGGGTGAGCAGTTGAGAATAAACAGACTGAGAATCGCAGTCGAGAAACGGTGGAGTTAAAGAAATCGAGAAAGTGGGCGAGTGCATCTTTCCCCGGATGCCGGAGGGCGGTGTGGGGCGCGTGGATCGTCTTATCGCGCATCTTGATTTGCTGCTCGGCAAAAGCCTTAGCCAGCGATGACTGCATTTAGACATTTAGCAGTCTAGTAGGTAGTAGTTGAGTGATAGCGAAGCTGGTAGGTACCTAAGTACTTACCTATCCCTAAGGTACCTGGGCTAGCGGAACAAACAGTCTTATTATGCGTCGAATGGCTGTCTCGGTATGGTTATAGGTATATAGGTACCGGTAGTTAGGGTCTCGTTGTACATGCTTTCTGCGCTCTACACAGACACAACTAAGTCTCCTTGAACTCATACGGACCCTCTCGATCTTGGACCTCCACCTCAATGCGTCCTTCCTCGATCTCCTTGCCGTCCACCTCGATGGTGGCCCGCATGACATCTCCTGCATTGACCTGGCCAACTCCCTTGGGTGTTCCCGTCAGCACGATATCACCTTTCTCCAGGGTCATGACCCTGGAAATATGCGCCAGCTGTTGGGGAATCCGGTACAGCATCAGACTCGTCGAGTCCGCCTGGCGCTCATTTTGTCCAACACGGAGACGCAGGAAGGCATCATGGGGGTTCGGAATTCGCGATTTGGCAATTCCCTGGGAAATGGGCAGGAAGGTATCGAAGCCCTTGGCGATGGACCACGGAAGGCCCTTCTTCTTGGCTTCCTCCTGCACGTTACGGCCGGTCATGTCGATAGCGAGGATGTAGCCTAAAGAGAAGAATGAGTGGTGCCCGTATTCGACTCGAGAATTTCAACTCACTCTGGATAGCATCCAATGCACCCTGTTCATCGTTGGGGTCGAGGTCACGCACGGTCTTGCCAATGACCAGGCCCAATTCGACCTCGTAGTGCACGCTGACGCCCTTGGGACGGAGGACGGGACCAGCGCCGGGGACGAGAATGGAGGAAGAGGGCTTGAGGAAGAAAAAGGGCTGCTTAGGCTTGGTGTTGTTCAGCTCTGTGATGTGATCGCTATCGAGTCATGGTTTCGCATTAGCATTAAGAGTTGACTGGAGCGCGGGGGAAGGTACGCACGCGTAGTTACGGCCGATACACATAATTTTGCGGCAATTGGCACGAATGGAAGCCATGGTGGGCGAGCTAGAGGGAGAGGGTTGAGATTACAGCTGGGTCAGGAGTGGAAGGGAAGGGAAGGGAATAAATGCGAAGTGCTGAAGAGTCCAAATGTCGGACGAGCTCCGGCGATGCGGAGAAATGGCCCGCGGGCCCGCTTGTATTTTTACCCACCTCTTCACAAGAGCTATCTACGGGTTGCTATTGGCAAAGCAGAAGCCATGATCGATCATTCGGATTCAACAATGCATTTTATTATATCTGATCATACCCAGTTCAGAGCTCATCAACCAATTTCATTCAACTTCAGGCAGATTTGCTGTCGGGGGGTCTTTCCGAGGTTCGGCTGCTTGTGCCGATGTCCTCAATGCGTGTTATGACTCCATCAGGGATGGCTCCTGGTAGTAAGAATTATGCAAAAATGGTGGGGTATAGCTAGTCCCCTAGGGGCAGTGGTTTGGGTTTGATACGGACTGCAGGACACCTGGGCAAGGAGACGAATATATAATGAACGCGGGTGTCTCCAACGAGTCCCAATTACCAACGTACATATTCATAGGTAACACCACAGGACACGAGTAAGGCCGGTGTGTAGTTAGACCGTAAGACCCCCACGTCCGGGGAACTCATCGCGTTCTCCGTCAACTCGTGTTCAGATAAACCGTGCAACCCCAACTTCTCCAACGGCGGGGTCTTCCACCCCTCTTTTTCCTATCTAAGAAGGTGCCCACTCGTATCAGTGATTGATAGATCGACATGTATTAAAAGGGCACGCTTGACTCATAACAGCCTTGCAACCACATTTCACAACATGCCGCTCAACGCCAAAGCTGTCTACGGCAAAGCCGACGCGGAAATGGCCCCCTTCGCCAGCCGGCGAAGCACCGTTCACAGCCGGAATGGAATCGTATCATGCACCCAGCCCCTGGCCGCCGTTGCGGGCCAGCGAATTCTGAGCCAAGGTGGAAACGCAGCAGATGCAGCCGTGGCCGTCGGTATGTCTCCCAGACACTCGAGATATTCGAGAACAAAGCTAACTATACCCGTCGGTATTAGCTGCTGCGATGAACATGACGGAGCCATGTTCAACTGGAATCGGAGGTGACATGTTCTGCCTGTTTTACAACTCCAAGACCAAGAAGGTCCATGCCCTAAATGGATCTGGTCGATACCCAGGCGCTGCAAGCCTGGAGCAGGTGCGCAAGGACCTGAAGATCGCCCCCGGTGAGCAAGGAAGTGTGCCGATGTTGAGCGCCTTGGCCTCGACCACACCTGGAGCAGCAGCGGGCTGGGTCGACACCGTGGAGAAATTTGGTAGCGGAAACTTGTCTATGGAGCAGATTCTACAGCCGGCCATTGAGCTGGGTGAGGAAGGATTCCCAGTGTCGGAAATTTCGTCCCACGGAGTAAGTGGCTCTAGTTGACGAGGAATGAAGTCTGCCAGGTGCTAACCGTTGCATAGTGGCACGCGGCTGAAATTGACATTCGCAACGCATCTCCGAACTTCCGTGAGATGCTCAAGAAAGACCCCTCGGCTAAGGATGGTGTACGCAGCCCACGCCCGGGAGAGATCATGAAGAATCCCACGCTGGCAAAGACATTCCGCACTCTTGCTGCGGAGGGGAAGAATGGCTTCTACCAGGGTCGAATTGCTCAAGAGATTGTCAAGGTGATCAATGACCTGGGTGGTTATATGACAATAGAAGACTTGGCCTACCACGCCGAGGTTGGCACTCAGGAGGTCGATGCTATCTCTCTGAAATTCACCGGTCAAGATATCGCGTCAAAGCAAGGAGCAGGTACAGATGGTCCCAACCAAGGTGTGGAGGTGTGGGAGCACCCGCCAAATGGTCAGGGCATCGTCGCACTGATGGCTTTGGGAATTATGGAAGAGCTCGAGAAAAGTGGAAAAATTCCGCGGTTCGGCGAAGCACAGCACAACTCGGCAGAGTATCTTCACGCAGTGATTGAGAGTCTACGAATTGCCTTTGCCGATGCTGCCTGGTGGGTGACCGACCCCGACGTGGAGCAAGTGCCCTCGCAAGGTCTACTGGCGCGCGAGTATTTGGCCGAACGAGCCAAATTATTCGACCCCGAGCGCGCGGCCGATCTTTTGGACCGCGGCAGCCCGGCGCATAACCACTGTGATACCGTCTACTTTGCTGTGACTGATCGCGAAGGCAACGGTATCTCTTTTATCAATAGCAATTACGCTGGCTTCGGAACGGCTATCATCCCCGCAGGCTGTGGCTTCAGTCTGCAGAACCGCGGGGCCAACTTCTCGCTTCAGCCAGACCATCCCAATGCATTGGCCCCGCGTAAACGGCCCTATCACACCATCATCCCGGCGCTCATCACTAATGTGGCTGATGGATCCCTTCATTCCGTCTATGGAGTTATGGGAGGCTTCATGCAGCCCCAGGGCCACGTCCAAGTCTTGCTCAACATGCTCGCATTCGGATATCACCCTCAGGCAGCGCTGGATTCTCCACGCATCTGTATTGCCGCTCCCACTTCGGAGAGCACCGATCGCACCATTTGTGTCGAAGAGGGAATCAGCGAGGAGGCCGTAGAGGGTCTGCGTCGTATGGGGCATCAAATCGAGGTGCTTACAGGCTGGAAGCGATCTATGTTTGGTCGCGGCCAGGTTATTCGCCTGCACTACGATGAAGGGCAGCAAGTTTACAGTGCTGGAAGTGACCCCAGAGGTGATGGAATGGCGTTTCCAATGCTTTAGTGGCCCAAGCATCTATAGTCTGTAGAGGTACATAATTTTTCGAATGGAAATTTCTGAATTTTGCACCCCGTGGAATTGATTGCCGTTCATTCAGCGATCGAAAAGTGGACACTGATGATCTAAAATTACCGATATAGTTGGAACAGGGACCCATTTGTCATTACCGGGGAAGAACTGGAGGCCAGAGCCCTCTAGACCAGGATGCAAGTTCCGGACCTCTTGAGAAGAATTGCACTCATTCGAGACCCAGCACATCCTGGAGAAGTGCCATGGTATTTGCCATTCCCGGGGTAGAGTTCCAATGGCAATTTCACCTTCAACCAGTTTTCTGCCCTCAATGAGGAGAGGACGCATAGTTGGGCCGGTTATCAAGTGACGATCAGTGACGCCGAGTCGGATCATCATCCCCGGATGTTTACTCCACACCAGGAAACATACGAGAAGTCTGGTAAAGCCTATTTACTCCTGTGGTTTTTGGCTGATCAGACCAATCGGAAACTTAAGCACTTTGATTGAAGAGTATAGTGCATTTTCCCTCGTCAGCTAGCGAGGGACTACTTAACCCCGTTCAGAGTTACGCTTTGATAGGGGAGAACCACTGGGGAAGAATGCCGGCCTTTCTCTTTTCAGACTCTCTTATTTTGATCCAGAAGCCTGACCAGTATCGATTGGTTAACACACGATGGCTCGAGACAGTCAATCCAACGGCGTAAATGGAGCGAATGGAACCAATGGTCGAATTCATTCGCCCGGAGGCACACCGAAGCCCAGTCACGAGGAAAAAGAAGGCATCGATGGAGCAAATGGAGAAAAGCCGGAGCTCAAAGAGTGGGAGTGCTACGACAAACTTGGCTATAGCTTCCCCACTTGGAAGAAGTGGTGGATCATCACTGTAATCTTCTCTGTCCAAGTATCGATGAATTGGAATGCCAGTTTCTACGCCAGCAGCATCACTCTGTACGCAAAGCACTTTTCAATTTCAGAGCAGGCTGCCCGTGTGGGCCAGATGAGTTTCCTCATTGCCTATGCATTTGGCTGCGAGCTCTGGGCTCCATTCAGCGAGGAGTTTGGCCGATGGCCCATCCTACAACTCAGTCTGTTACTGGTCAACATTTGGCAAATTCCCTGCGCCCTCGCCCCGAACTATGGCACAATCGTCGTCTGCCGTATCCTGGGTGGTCTTTCCTCTGCTGGCGGCTCGGTCACACTCGGAATGGTTGCCGATATGTGGGAACCGGAAAGCCAACAGTGGGCTGTCGCATACATCGTGTTGTCCTCGGTAGCGGGCTCAGTCATAGCCCCAATAGTTGGAGGGTTTGTTGCGACATTCCTCGACTGGCACTGGAACTTTTGGATCCAGCTTATCCTTGGAGGATTTGTGCAACTGTTACATTTGCCAGTGCCGGAAACTCGATGCGCCATTCTCATCACGAGGGAGGCTCGCCGGAGACGCAAGAATGGCGACATAGTTTGGAGTGGCGATGAGCTCAAAGGCTCACGCATGTCCTTCAAATATCTGCTCATGATATGGATACGTCCGTTCATCATGTTCCTTCGGGAACCCATTGTATTGTGTCTGTCGCTCCTGAGTGGATTCAGCGACGCTCTGATTTTCACCTTCCTTCAGTCATATACCCTGGTATATAAGCAATGGGGATTCAGCACCATTGATACCGGGCTTGCCTTCATCCCGTGAATCTCCACTCGTCTAATGAAATACAAGGCCTGTGCTAACCATGCTTCCTCCTGTCTGTCAGAATTCTCGTGGGTTATCTCATTGCATACGCGTCGTTCCTGCCTTGGATCCATCGACATTGCAAGGTTAGGGAGCGGGATCCCGACGCCTTACTGCCGGAAATTCGTCTTTACTGGCTCCTATGGGGTGTGTGTATGAAAATTGTGCATTCTTCTTTCACAGCTGACTTCGGTAGTGGCACCGCTTCTTTCGATCGGACTGTTTGGTTTCGCCTGGACCAGCTTGGGTCCACCACATGTGCATTGGATCGCTCCAATGATATTTTCCTCCTTGATTGCCATAGCTAATGTGAGCTGGCTCCGATACTATACTATACTTTGAGCCTGTGCTAACGCATCTCGGCTTCAGTTCTCAATCTACATGGCTACGATCGACTACATGATCGCTGCATACGGGCCATACGCGGCCTCGGCAACAGGTGGAAATGGCTTCGCACGCGACTTCCTTGCCGGCATTGCTGCAATGTACTCTACCCCTAGTAAGTTTTCCGTCATCTGAGAATTGTTTCCCAAAAGGTCGCTCATAAAGCCCTAGTGTATAAACATATGGGAACGAAACATAAGCTGGAGTGGCCTTCGACTTTTCTTGGATTCATGGCCATATTGTTCACCATTCCAATTTACGTCTTTTATTGGTATGGTCCGAAAATTCGGGAGAGGTCTCCGTTTGCCCAAGTCTTGGCTTCGGACAGGAAGAATGCCGGACGGAGAGTATCGCAATGTGGTTCTGGTGACCCGGAACCTGTGCAACGCTACCTGTCTGGCGATGATGCATAAAATGAATTTCAGGTGACAGCCCTGGATAATTCGGGCCAAGTCCGCTATTCATTCGTATAACATGACTGTTCGCTTCTTCGAGTGAAGATTACCCGTCAAGGTGACTCGGTGCAGAGGGTCGTGATACTTGGCGAGGAAACGAGGTGTGGAGTCGCGAGAATGTTCAGTCAGTTGAGAGACAAGAAAAGTATTTGAATTTGTGCTAACATCAACTGTTTACTTGATCTGGATTCCAATTGTTTCCTGGCAAAATTTCCAGTCTGTATTCAAGTTCCATTGATTACAGCGAAGTTGACGTGTGCACCCCCTGCACTTGGCTTTCACCGAGACTACTTTTGTTTTGAAATACAGTATTCCCAGTAATCTTCATAAAAATAAAGCCGCTCAGAACGGCATTTTACAGGAGCTTTTAGAGACTAATCGGAATTATATCATAAAAACATCTCGCTATCTATCGGGGCTGCCAAGTGACCGTTTTGGCTAGAGGTCCTCCGCGGTCATAGGTGACCAGTGCGGTGTGGTGATCCAGGGCCATGACGCCAGGCCAGAAACTTGAAGCTGGAGACACCACCGAGGGGGCACTCCACTGAATTTGTCCGTTGTGAGGTGGGCCGGCAAATACGACCTTGATTGCGGCGTGTTTGACCCATTCCACTTGGGAAGAGTCCTCATCCGTCATGAAGGCGACCACCAGGGAGCCGTCTGCGAAAGAGGCAATCTGGGGAGACCCTGCATTGTGTCCATGTTTTGGGCGGAAAACTTCATGGCGCTTTTGCCAAGTTGCACCATCGTCGTAGGAAATGAGTGCCTCAATATTGAAAGGGCCGTACCGGGTAGTTTCAAATGCCATCACGAGGGCCTCACGGCCATTGTCAATGGTTTTCGCAATACCGTTCATACCATCCCGGAGGGGATCATTATTTCCGTGGAGACAGGTTGGTTGGGTCCATGTACTTCCCTGATCCTGCGAGACAATGAGCATAGTGCACTGGTTGTTGTGCGCAAACTCTTGAGAGTAGGTGAGTTGAACCTCTCCCCGGCGGCCTAGTCGCATGAAGGGTTCCCAAATGCCAAATGGAGGCTTCTTTTCCGCAGCCTGGGAGGCAAACTTCCACGTACGGCCGCTATCCATCGACCTGCAAACGGTGATACGGAAATGTGATGGGCCATCGGGACCGATATCGTGGTTACGGAACGCTGCGAGGACCACACCGGGAGCCGCTTCCAACAAGAACATATTATCCACGTCTCCTGCCGCCCGGGTCACCTCAGACAACAATTCAAAGGTTCGTCCATTATCCGTGCTCCGTGCGACACAGAGTGCCCGCTGATTTTCCGGAAATTGAGTGAAGGAGGATAGAATGGAGCCGTCTGAGAGGCGGGCCAGGCGGGGATAGGTGCCTCTATTGGGGGGTGACGATAATGGGCGCTCATCCTCGTTGATCAGACCGCGACCGGGGAGGTTCTGGCCGGGAGGATGATTGGAGTGACCTCCAGTAAGAGCATTGAGAACTTTCTGACCAAGATGTCCAGGCATGATTCAATGGGATGAAGAGACGGGGAAGATCAAAAGGACGTTGAGGATAGCTCGCGCTCTTGACGTCATGGCGCTGACTTAAGCTGAGCCAAATATCAGTTTGGCGAGCCTTGGCACCAAGTGGCAGGTGCAGCATCAGGTTCAGGATGAGGGAATTCTTTCGAAAGAAGATATGCACTTTAACCGTGTCAGTAAAGTTACGCTGGTGCGTTGTGAGTAGGTAAGCTGATGAGTTGGTCACCACTACTCCAGGTAGCTCTGCGTAGCTTATATACGCTCGTACCTTTGTATCTGACTCGGCTTACCACTCGACCTTTGTTAGTGGCATCTACCTTAACATGGTGCCGTCTCTGCCCTTTTTACTCTCTCTACCCCTCGAATCTGTCCATCTTAACTCCAGTGTTGCGCCGGAGTTTCTAAAGTCCGGAGATGAGTCCACCGCCTGAAACCCACAGGAGGAGTTAGGCATTTGGCGGAGTTGTTATCGCCGTCCAATCTCCGGGATCCATGACTTCTTGATTTCGGCACGCATCACATTAAATACCATGCGACCCCTTAGAAAAATGGACCAACGCAATCACTGCAATCATGGGTTTCCTTTACTCTCAGTTTCTCGTCCGCCCCAGCTATCCCACTCGCTCCTTCGAAGGTGAAACGGTGCTCGTCACCGGCGCCAACGTGGGTCTCGGCCTGGAAGCGACACGGCACATCGTACGCCTGGGTGCCGCCCGGGTGATCCTCGGCGTGCGCAATGTTGAGGCAGGGGAAGCGGCCAAGAAGGAGATCGAGGCTTCCACTGGACGGTCGGGAGTCTGCGAAGTGTGGAAGGTCGACCTGGCTTCCTACGACTCAGTCTTGGCCTTCAGTGACCGCATCGCCCAGATCCCCAGGCTGGACGCGGCAATCCTCAATGCAGCCCTAGCAACGGACAATTTTGAACTGGCGGAGGGCTACGAACGCTCCATCACCGTCAATGTTATCAACACCCTACTTCTCGGTCTTCTTATTCTCCCCCTGCTGAAAGCGACCAGACAAAGGTTCCCTTCCACGCGACCTCGTCTTGCCTTTGTAGTGAGCGAAGTCCATGCATGGGCCGACACGACTGAAATCGCCGACGAAGGCGATCGCATACTCAAGGCTATTTCCGACCCGACCAAGGCTAAAATGTCGGGGCGCTACTATATATCCAAACTGCTCGAGGTCCTATTGGTGCAGGAGCTGGCCAGCCGGGTGCGTGGCTCTGAAGTGATCATCACTATGCTAAATCCGGGTCTCTGTCATTCTTCACTGGGCCGTGAGGCTGGTTTAGGGTTCATGCTCATGAAGATCATTCTGGCACGCTCTACCGAAATGGGATCCCGCACTCTGGTCGCCGGTGTGTCCACAGGCCTTGAAGGACACGGCGCCTACATGACCGATGGCCAGGTGGAGAACATGGCCTTGTCGCCATTCGTACGTAGCGAGGAGGGCAGCCAGACTCGGGCGAAGATTTGGAACGAGTTATCGACTATTTTGGAGGGTGTGCGGCCTGGGATCATGGAGAACGCCCAATAGTAAAGAAAAAAAGCAACTCTCACTGTAATGTTTAGTCAACCTATGGGGTTCAAAGGAAATAAATTCTCAAACAGTCATGTTATGATTTCACCTTGATGTACATTATAATGGTCTCGGCTCGTATTACCCTTTCTATCCAGACACATCGTATGGGCCATCACATCGCAGTCACTGGCTCTCACAGCTCGACCGAGAAGATAATTTAAAGGGACCTCCGCACTCGACTTTTCAGTTCTTTTCAGCTATCTTTCTAGGCATCGCTTTGGAGGCCTTTTCAAAATTCTTTTTGTTCCTTCTGATAAATGACTTTCAATATATCCGAGAAGATAGTCTACGGTTGCTTATTGAGAATGATTTGTATTGCATTTATGGTCGAGTTGTACTGCACATAAGAAAGTGAGTGGACCATTGAACAGGGAGCGGCAGAGAGTTCAGACATTGTTGACAACGAATTCATTTGTTTTGAATAAAGCACCCATTCGTAATCCCAGGGATCTTCAACGGCTAGCTAGGCAATAGTACTTCATCACTTGTGGTACTGTGTGTTACTGTTTCGAGCGGAGAAGCCATGTACACACCTCTCTTGAGCTTGCACCCGCAGGATAGCACCTGCTCGTGGTGGATCGTACGAATCCTTACAAGCCAAGCATTGATACAGGTTGCTTGTGATCCAACGCAGAAACTTGATACGACCCCGAGCCCCACAATTTCCGTTTCAATCTAGGTAGAGATTTTGATGTCCTGGAGAACATTTAATTAATGCCTGGCAGTCAAGTCAAAGTTGAAAAGCGGAGAGTCAATGCACCTCGCACGCCATGAGAAGGTACTTGACGTCCGAGTGAAGCCCATATTAAGCTTAAAAAGGGTTGGTTCACCGAGTGGACCTTTGACTGTTTCAAATCTGGGTACCATATCCAGTTCGGGCTGATAGACATCTCCACGGAGCTCATCTGATGTCGGTCTTTCTTCGGACATCCCGAGCCGTTATCCGATCAAGGTAGACTTTGGCTTGCATTCCCTGGGATCTTAGGTTCCTGAGGTCACGGTGTGAACCTCTGCCGGCCCGTGGACTCCGGAACGAGAGAAGCTCACAAGTTCCAAAGCGCATGTTTTCTTTTCCATGTTCGGACAGCTAGGGCTAAGTTGAAACGCCATCCGAGGTGGGGCTCAAGGAACGGGTAACATACAGGATGATCAGGGGTCTAGTCGCAATATCATTCATGGACAATCCCTATTTGATCATTTGGAAAGGCATTGATCTACACAGCGAATATCATATCTATTCAAGCTCAGACAAAGCCAAGACTCCAATCTACGTCAATTCTCGACCCTTGACACCCTTTCTAGTATATAGTGTTGTCCAACACCCTCCCCAGCATGTTTGTCTCACCATCCGTCTTTCCTTTGCCTTTCGGGCAAAGCTCTATTATTTTACTTCGTTCGTTGATACACTGCTGGATCAGTCGTTCTTTCGCTCTTTCCCTTCCGATATTTACATTTCTACTCGTCCTTTTCACTCACTATGGTGCCTCATAAATCGCTCCTGGCGGTCGTGGCGCTTCTCGGAGCCACTGTTAGCGCTTCGGGCGTATCAGGAACTGCATTCGGATTTGCTACTGGGACCACCGGTGGTGGCAGTGCGTCGCCTGCTTCGCCCAGTGATACCGCTCAGCTCACTGAGTGGTTGTCTGATAGCACCCCCCGAGTCATCTTGATTGACAAAGAGTTCAACTACCTTGGTACCTCGGGCAAGTGCACCGACTGCAAGTGCTGCATTCCCGATTCCAACACCTGTGGCAGCTCTGGTCAAAATGCTATCGACTTGGATTCGTCCAGCTGGTGCGGTAGCTACCCTACCACCACCTGCACCTACGACAAGGCAGCAATTGAGGGTATTGAGGTGGCCTCGAATAAGTCAATCGTCGGTGTTGGCAGCGCTGGTGTCATTCGTGGCAAGGGTCTGCGTCTGGTCAACGGCGTGAGCAACGTCATTATCCAAAACATCCATATCACTGAACTCAACCCGCAATTCATTTGGGGTGGCGATGCTATCACCCTGGACGGCACTAACAATATTTGGATTGATCATGTCAAGATCTCCCTGATCGGTCGCCAGATGTTTGTTGCTGGATACGAAGCTAGTGAGTACCATGGAGACTACTGAGAAGACGTGTATTGAATTGAGTTCAGGTGGCGATGTTACCATCTCGAACTGCGAGTTTGATGGCCAGACCAGTTGGTCTGCTTCCTGTGATGGTCACCACTATTGGACCGTGTAAGATATAATCCACTGGAAATATTCGAATTGTACTGATCAGATATCTTCACGACAGTCTCGGATACGGTAAGAACGACAAGGTGACCTTCACCGGAAATTACATCCACCACACCTCAGGTCGCTCACCCAAGCTTGAGTTCAACAGCTACTGGCACGCCTACAACAACTATTGGTTCAACAACACCGGCCACGCCTTTGATGTCGGCTCCGGAACCAAAGCCTTGATTGAAGGCAATGTCTTCCACAATGTCGATACTCCTTTACTCACCGACAGCAGCCCCGGCAAGACCTTGGCCGTGGGATCTAACGATAAGTCTACCTGTGACTCCAAGCTTGGTCGTACCTGTGTGGCCAACACTCTCGTCTCATCAGGTGCACTTTCTGCCAGTGATGAGTCAGTTCTCTCCAGCTGGCCCAGCAGCGAGCTTGGCGTTAGTGTCACCTCCTCAGCAAGCCAGGTCCGGTCCTCGGTTCTGAGCAATGCCGGCGTCGGTAAGCTGAGTAGCTCCTCCAAGCGACAGTTTGACGGTGCGCCCAATCTCCCCATCCTTTCTGCAGCGGGCCCCGGTGCTACTCCTGCAAGTGCGCCGCAGCGGTGGACCTGGAGGACTGTGGGCGTCAAGCCCGCTGCCCAGGCTAGTAGTGCCCCTTCTGCCAAAAGTGGTGAGGCGCCCATGAGTGGGCTCTTCGGCATCGGCTTCTAAGAGAACCTCGCTTCGGTTTGGTCAAGACTGACCCTTGCATTCTCGGCCTGCCATTCTCGGCCTGCCGTAAATTCGGTGTCATTTGACATTCACATTCAATTCTTTCCTTTACGCCTAAAGCCGCCACAGTAGACTGAAAAATTAAAGCTTTTTATTGGTGTAGAACATCTGGCGAGCCAGGTTTTTGTTTTTATCTCGAGATACTGCGTTACCGTTAAGGTACACGCATGCCGGACTTCGCGACTTGCCAGCTCAACCATGACTTTGTTCCTTATCCCTCAAATGCATAGCACTATGAATGCAGGAAATTACCTGGTGGCACCTATACCCCATTGTAACTTTATGTAATTATCGAAATGAGTAACGTCCCTTGATGAGTCTTGGTAACACTTGTGCCATCGAATAGCAAGGCGCAGGAGTATTCTCTGTCGTTTCGTGTTGGATTTGGAGTTTTCTGTCCATCTCATTGCTGCAAAATGTAGATAGGAGGATCCCAGCGGTGATGCTGGCTTCTTAGGGCCAGCTAGAGAGACCTTTATCTCCCAGTCATCGCGCTAGTGCTGGACTATGCACGTTCCGGGGTTGAAGCAGAGTAATGGCAACCTTCCCCAGATGTCCACTAAATAGCACAAACTTTCCGAGTGTGCCATTCACTTGCTGATTTAGTACTTGTTTGGATGTGTATTTCACCCATCGTATTTCCACCCAGCGGTGTTCGGTGAGATGAAAGCTTTCTGGACGTCTTCCATATGTTCGAATCGCGTATAACTTGGAAAGGTATGAGAGCCTATGGTGAAGCCGGCCTGGGGGTCCACCGGCAGCCAGTTAGAGGTCCTGCGCGTGCTACCATCCGGCATTTCCAAAGTTGTCGGATAGTCATCCTCATCTTCCCCAGAGAAATAGCCAGGAGCTGTAGCCTGGCTCTCATTCTTCAGAGCTTGTACATAGGTCTCGGTCGTCGCGGATAGAGAGGATCTGTCATAATCGGTCTCCCACAAGCCCGAGCCATGGCTCACGTCGGGGGTGCTGGATAGATCCGATATAGGCGATCCAGGATATGTTGAGAAGGACAGAGGATAGGCGGAGGGAGTCATAAACAATGCTCTTTCGGTCGCGAGTTGGGACACGGTGTCTCTTGAGCCATCCCACTGTGGTACTGAGTTGCCAAAGTCTGTCTGTGAATACGCGCAACTTGAAGCCATCGTCAGAAAGTACATCCAGTTGAATCGGTAGCATCTTACATCGCTAGCTCTCCGTCTTCCCTTTCCTTGTATTCCATGCCGACGTTTGTTGGTTCCCATTTCTCTGAAAATTGTTCTGACATTGGAGCAATTCCACCGTTCCAACCATAGTGTTGCATCATCCATGGATCGAAATCGCCATTCATGACCAGAGGGAAGTTTTCTGCCAGGAATGGAGGCTGGCCGAATTCCTCACTCCGCATGTCCGATGTCATATCTGGATTCTGTACATCGTGAGAGCTTGTCATACCCCAGTTGGGAGCATCGTCGAAGACATTCGAGGTCATCCTGGCTTTGCGCAATTGTCGAGTGCTCATAGAGAGCAAAACCACACTGGTGTCGGAGCTAAGACAGGCAGATGGGATGAAAGGAACCTCAGGTAGTGTTACCCATTGGGGAATAAAAATAAATTCCCCGCAAAACTGGGGAAAATCCCGCCTTAAAAAAAGATTGCGGAGAAGATCTAGGCGACATTGAAGCTCCGAAGCGAAGCTGCAGGCCGGCAAATTAAAATCACCAGCGGCCGGGATCGAGCACCTGCAGATCGCATGATCACAGGAATTAACCGAATCATTCCCCGGATTGTGGCCAGAGGGCGGTTCGGACCGAGTGTGATGTACCAATCGGTGCTTTCTACTCGGCTTCGGTTGGGCGTTTCTTTTTTTAACCGAGCCCCGCAGATTCTCCAGGAAAACTCACGCAAGGTACGAGCCACGAGCCACGCGGGGAATGCGCGTGTTGAGCTGATTTCCCCTATGCCGATCGCCTGTGGTAGTTAGAATCACCCTGCGACACGTGGCGTCGACAAGGACGAGAGAATGTGTAAAATGGTAGTCTCGGTTTCTTTCAACTGCATGGGTTGCCTCTTGAGCAGTTTGCTTGACCCGACAAAGGCTTACGAGGGTAGATATGTCGCCTGGACAGCCCATAGTTTCGGTTGTTTCAAAAGTAGAACGCTATGTTAAAACACCCTGCTCATGAAATAGGATTTCTGATATACTACATCACCTGAGTACCCAAGTCGGTAAACGACCCCGGGATTTCGGTTAAATCATCCCTTTTAAAAAGTCCATATTGGCCGAGCGATTAATATATTCATCATGCCGCTCGAGCTTTCCCCGCAGCTTTGGAAGTGTGATTCCCATGATCCGATTTCGGTAGCCAATAATGGGGTTGATCTTGATCAGAATATCTCATCATCCATGTCCACAACGGCCGTGGATTCGTGCCTGGCATTCATACGGTCCTATTCGGCAAGAATTCTAACCTATGTTTGGGAACATGATTGGGCGGGCCATCCGGGGAACTGTGTCCATAGCATCCAAGTCACCTGAGTAGGCAGTTTCAATATGTGTATTGTGATTGGTATAACATAATTAAGAAGCAGCTCCAGCTGGTAAGAAAGACTGGCGAGGTTTGGTATCTCATGTACTAAGTCTTTGTTACAACGAAGTCAAGCATGAAATCATTAATCATTGAATGAGCCTAGCCCGTATTATTTTGCGACAGGACTCGACTCTTGATCATTTGAACTTGTCTTGCGTCGACGGGTGTAATACTGTGCACTGAGCACCGCCGCCAACGCCCATGAAGCCCCGGCCAGAGCGCAAATTGCCGTGAGTCCCTGTATATACTTGGGCGCATCTTCTGTGCGGAAAATCTGGGAACCGGAGATTCCAGCGCAATTCGCAGCCATGACGACCAGACTAGCATCAAGTTAGTACAAAGTTTTTCTTGGTAAAAAAATAAAAGGGGGGGGTTAACTCACGCCATGGCCACGCTTCGCTCCTGGGGCGACTTGCAGTAAATGGAAAGCCAGCCCACGTTCAGAATACTAGTATTGTGTCAGCTTTCATTCAAATGAGGTCAAAGTTCGATCGCACTTACTGCATACTGCAATACGAGACGTTGGCGATGGCGATAACAGCGTATCGGTGCCACTTCCCAGCGGCGTATGAGGTTGTTCGCAGGCAGACATACGAGATGACGTTCCAGGTAATGGCGATTATTACGAACGGTCCGCGATGGCCGGTCCAGTCTCTATCATGGTGTTAGCAGCTTGAACCCCCAAAATAAAGGTCAAGACATACGAAGCAAAGGACAATGCCGTCAGCCACACGATACCGCAGTACACCGGAACGGATGCCAGTGCATTGGCACGAATGGCACTGAATCCCAATGACTTGATCATGGTAGGGGTGTACTGAGTCAGACCTTGGAAGCCGGACATGGAGACAAGAGTCAAGAAAACGTGCTGCAGAATGCGAGGCTGCTTCACGGTGTTCCATATATCGGATCGGGAGATTTGAATGTGACCGCGGGCTTTCCGAGGATCATCAAGCAGGACACGGTTACGGATAATCTGGGATTCCCTCTCCGTAAAATAGTTCCAGCGACCGAAGCCGATCAAGGCACGACCATCGCCTACTTTGGGTGGAACAAACAGCGTAAAGACAATTCCGATGAAGAGTGTCATGAGACCCTCAACTGATTATGCTCGTTAGGACGAAGTCGAACACCAGAGATGAGGCAACACATACCGAGGAATATCCATCGCCATCCCTCAAGTCCATGAGTACCCGCAAGTTTGAGTAAACCGGCCGAGATCAAGCTGGATGTTGCAGAGGCAAACATCTGACCGTAAAAGAAAAGACTGGTCCGGAGACTGGTCTCATCCTTCTTGTACCAAGTCGACAAGTAGTAAAGAGCACCTACACTGGGTCAGTTTGGTTTCTGTTGCCCGATATATGTCACATATTTACCAGGAATGAAACCACCCTCACAGAAGCCCAATAGAATTCGAGTCACCAGGTATGCCGGGTAGGACTGCACGAATGCCTGGAAGGTTGCAACCAGGCCCCAGGCAAAGAGTTGACCCGATAGCCAAACACGGGGTCCAATTCGTTGCATAATTATGTTTGACGGGATCTCCGAGAGCACGATGCCTGCAGATAAAAGTTGTGTTCCGATGTTGACTTGATTTGTCGTGATATGGAGGTCTTTGGTGATGGTCGAGGTCAACACTGCACTGATATTGCCTCGATCCATCTGCATGGAGAAGAAGGCTAGGGCGAGGACAGGTAGGAGAATGAAGTCGACCCTATTCTCTCGGTCAGCGGAGTACATGATGGGAACCATTCTCCCGTAGCAACTTACTTGCGCTTCACTGCAGCCTCTTCGCCATCCCAGTCCTTTACAATGCCTTCCGACTCACTAGGAGGGGAGTCGACAACTTTCTCAAGGGCATTTTTTTCGACAAAGATATCCATGTCGGAGTTTTCTTGGGGACCCGTCATTGTGAAGCCAAAGCTGGAAAGTTTCCAAGACTGAGGTCCAGACGGGGCGAGGGAGCATTTTTTTTATATGAAATCTCTCGACCCGGTGGCTTACCGTGGATTGCGTAGTTCCTCCATAGACACGAATCCCGATCTTTCGAATTTCCCAAAAGTGGCCCCAGTCACTGTCGCGACACGGCGGGGAGGTATGGCGCAATCAGCCTTTGACTGCCACGGACCCGGTTTTCACTTTTGCCGACAAGCTAGGATCATCGTTGTGATTAGCTCAAGATTTATTGAATGTGCCAACGTGGCTGGTCTCTATTTACATTGATGCAAGCGGTTCCGCGCGAAGTATGAGCGATCGGCCTTGGTATCTTGTTGATACTGTTGGCCTTCCAAGTTCGGATAGGTCGAATTTTCTATCTCATCAAAATATAATGTTTTGCATTTACAAGTACATCTCAAGAACTAAAGGTAAGGTATGTGTTACTGTCTTTTTTTTTCAAACCCAATTATCCCAGGAAATGCCATAACGCGTGGTCAACGGCACTTGAGGACCTTCGGCTTCGACAATATGCCCTGCAGCACACCAGTCGAAAGAGACTCGGGGCTGTGCTCTGTAGAAAGCATCATAATGCTTGTCAAGAGCATCCCGGAAGCTTCTAACTGGATTCTCGGGCTGGAGAACATTCCACGGTTCGATGCAGGTCCCCCCTTGGCAGGACTTCAACACGAGGAGGAGCGCGTCCAGCCTGTTGACGGCCTGAGACAGACTGCGACCGAGAATTCGAGGCTCGCCATCATCTGTTTGAGCACCGTGTGGATAAAGGTTGTACAGTTGATAAGGGTCAGTCTGTTCACTAGGGTTAGCACGATGAACAGAAGCCAGAGAGACCGGTCTTACCGAAAGGTCATAGAGTTCATGTTCGTTGTTACACCAGACGGAATAGTACAAGTTGTATCCCTCTCCCAGCAGGCGAAGCGACTTGTACGTGTTGTTGGGAATCATCGCGGAGCCTCCTGGGCCTACTACACCATCAATACATGGGCAGAAAGTAATGTCAGAGAACACTTACCGATAGCGCTAAAGGAGCCCTCCATAACAGCCTTTCCCCAGAATTCGACTGTAACGTGCTCGTGGCGCAATCCATCAAAGTCGAGCGTCAGTGGGATTGCAGTGCCATCGAAATCCGAGCGTGGTGGGATGCCCGCCAGGTCGAAGATGGTGGGAGCCAAATCGATGTGAGTCGTCACCGAATCTTGAACATGGCCTTCCGGTATCCCAGGGCCTCGAATGAACAGGGGCACTCGGATGTCCTCTTCATAGCCGCAAGTCTTGCCTGGTGGCAATCGATGCTGGCCGATATGGAATCCGTTGTCAGAGGTATAAATTATATAGGTGTTGTCCAGCTTGTCACTTTCTTCCAGTCGCTTAACCAGATTATCCACGAGCTCGTCCACTCCCTGCAGGGCGCGCAGGCGAGAGCGATAGAAGTAGTCATTGTAATCCACAACGGTCTTGTTCTGCTGAGGTAAGTCACGGACCCAACTGACGCCGCTCGGCTATCGCATCATTAGATTGAAATATATTCCCTGTCGAGAGACCAGCTTACCTCGTCGGGGTTAAAGTGCTTGGTGCGAGGCACCTTGACATCCTCAAACAGATGCTGGTGCCTCTCCAAGGGAATCGGGGCGCCCATGGTGATCTCACCGGTTTCAATAGCACTGGGGTCGACATTCGAATGTGGCGCTATAGGTGCGATCGTAACAAAGAAGGGCCGCTCACCTTCCAATGCATCATTCAGGAAGCCTAGGGCTTTCTTCGTAATAACATCAGTAGTGTGCTGGCCTTCATAGCTCACCGGAGGGTCGTGGTTACGCTGATATGTCGAATTAAGGTAGGCGTAAGTGTAAGGATCAAGGAGAAAGTCGGATCCGTTATAACCATTCACATGGGGACTGTCGTAATTGTCTATTGTGTGAGCATTGAAGAGTTTGCCGGTATAATAGGTGTCGTAGCCGGCCTCCTGCAGCCAAACCGGCAAGAAGTTGTCATTGAATCCGCGGTCAACGAACTTGGGATATCCACCTGTCCTGATCAGCGTCGGTTCGACATTTGTCCATTGCCAAACTCACCGTAGGGCGGCTTGACGTCGGTCACGTTTGTGTTATGTGCTTGGCGACCCGTCCACAGGCTAACTCGTGAGGGGCAACAGAGCGCCGTCGTGACGAAATGATTGCGGAAAAAGGTGCCCTTGTCTCGCAGGTGTTTTTGAATGAGCGGAGTGTATGCGACCGAGTCGAGTTCGAGATCTTGATCGTCGGTGATCACGAATAAAATGTTAGGCTTGGACCTAGCATCGAATCCAATAACCTGTTGTAGAAGGGATTGAACATTGGTTTCAATGCTGGCGCCTTCGGCGGCTATGATGAAGCTAACAGCAGCGGCGAGGAGCTTCATGATGCTTGTGGAGGGGAAGTTGAATCGACGTGAAGTTCGGCTTGCCCGCTCGGCAATGCGGGTTCATCTGCGGGTCTATAGTGGAGAGCTCAATGATGCCACCGGTGGCTCCGATGGCGATCCTTAAACTCCATCTGAAGCCGGAGGAGTAGATACAATGTAGACATAGATCTCAGACACGAGGCGAATTATGCTATACGTGGTGGTACGAGCATTTCCACTCTATGTGCCCTTGACATATCCGTACCTACGTGGGAAATTCAGATTTTTCATAGCCTCTCAATATGATTGATTCACTACTTGAAGATTCAATCTTGAACCTCCAAATGTTTTTTTTCCCCGATCGGATCCACTTTTCCATGACGTGATTTATGCTGCTGATGAGAACACACTTCGCTTAACCATATTCACCGCAAGCTAAAGTCTTGGTTCTTATGCGGGGCCGGCCGGATCTGTCTGTCGTTTGGAATTCGGATAAGCCGACCTTGTGTTTGTGGTATCTCTAATCGAGTTACATACGACGGGATGTAGGGTCTTGAAGGGAGATTCTAATTATGAATTAGATGGGCCTAAGTCCAGAGGTTTACATTGAAATATTTGCTATCGAGCCAAGAGGGCCACCCCTCCCCATTATATGCTCTTTTGTGAGCCGATGAAATCAGATATGTAGGCGCGACATCGCCGCCCGTGGCCAACTCCGTCCCGAACGCTATACAAGCTTAGAATCATGTACAAATATAAGTAAACAGGTCGCAAAGAAACAAGAACCATTCGTGGCCAGCTCTTCAAAGAGCCAAGCCAGTTCCCTTCCGTGTCCATCGATAGAGTGCCAGGACAGCTTTGCGCCGATGTCGAATTTCACTGGGGTTCACAGGGCGACCTCGAGCCTGGGCGACGGCACTGCGCATCACCTGACGGAAACTTCGCTGGTATTCGGTGTTCAGGGTCACTACGCAGGATTCGGTCGCTCGGATCATAGTCTCGCAGGCGTTTAGAATTCCCTCACCCGCTTCTTTTTGGAGGCGTTCGACGATGAGGAGTAGAAGGAAACTGCCCTGAAGTAACTGGATACCAAAGAAGTAGGGCATGAAACTGATGTCAGGGTCAAATCGGAGGATTTGCTGCACCGAATCGGCCGCTTCGAGTGCGTGTGATATAGTGGATGCGAAAGCCGGGGAGGACGTCCAAAAGTCCTTGTCCTCGATTAGCGAGACCGGATCCCATTTTCCGACCAGGAGAATATGGAGTACGTGAACCAGGTAAGAAGAATAGGCAATAACGGTTTGGGTGTGCCACGAGTAGGCTTCGGAGGTTTGTGCATCGACGGGCTGGTCCGGTTTGGCGGCGTACCCCGTTGAGAGAGAAGCTTCTGGGTCCGCGGCTGTAGCTGTAGCAAATGTTGTAAGACTTGCTTTGTACACCTCGAGCTGTCGTAACACCTCAGCCACGTGCACTTCCCAAACCTCCTTTCCTTGTAATCGAAGCCCCAGGGTCGGGTGATTTCGCGCCTGATTGAGATCAATCAATTCTCCGGTGATGGTCATGAGCGGCAGGAAAAATCCTAGAATGGAGTGATCGTGGCAGACAAAGTTGGGAAACACGCGCCGCTTGTTCCGGTCACCGGACCGTAGACACTGCGGACCATCGACACGAGGGCTATTGCTGTGGATTCTCCCAGACTGCCAGGAGCTCTCATCCAGTGGAAGAAGAAGGTCTTCGCTCTCGGCGTCGAGCAGTGCGAGTGGTCGGTTGTAGCATAAAGCGAGATGACGATCCATAATATACAAGAGCCACCACGTCCGGCGGCGTTCTTCCCTGTGCTCCTCTGTCACAGCAAAACTATTGTGTAAGCTGCTTTTTTCTTCACAGACACAGTTCAAGCTCGGCCGAGATGGGTTCGAGTAGTCAAAGGCAGTGCCATCGGGTGAGCTAGCCCAACCGGCCAAGTAGCCAAAGGCTGGGCTGGAACCATCCGACTGTGCATTTATATTGGTTGTGACTTCGATTTCCTGGTTCAGTTTGAGCTCTCGGGCCAAGGTGAAGGCCGCATGCCACCTATAATCGAATCAGTTGATAGACCAAAAGGGATACGGGGGATTACCGACTGACCATCGCATACTGGCAGCCTTTTGCTCACTGGACGAGATGATGGATGCAACGTGAATATATGTAATCACATCATCGAGAGATCCAGCGGGACCTATCAACCCTTTGTCGTCACCCACGCCTTCAAAGGGGTGGTGTGCCGCGGCTGCGGTAAAGTCCTGTGGCCCACCGGTGCTTTCGGCCTGCTCCTGATCTTTGAAGGAAACGTGGATGAGCGGGCGGAGTAGGCGAATGGTTAATGCGCATAGGAATTGACAGATCTTCCGGCGCTGCAGCGGTGAGATGGAGAGAGAAAAGGCTCGATCATCCACCGCAGCCACCCACAGCATACTGGCCAGCAACGCTGGGCTGCTGGGTCTGGGGGAGTCCGTGCTCAAAAATGAAGCTTTTCGCAAGACATAGCAATGAATGTGGTGGCAGACCGGGTGCATGTGTGTCGAAAATGCACTGGTGAAATAGAGCTCAAGCAAGTCGCATACCAGACGGCGCGGCAGATTGGACTCCAAGAATGGCATCACAGGCTCCAATACAGGGTATTTCAAGCCTGGCCGTGCCGCCGACGCTTGTCTTTGACCAGGTAACTTTTGTGTGGAGACCGACGAGGGAATTTGCGGGGGTCGTTGAGGATGGCCAGCGAGATCAACCGGATTCCAAATGTCCGCCAATCGTGGCATGGGATCATTGGATCCATTCAGACCTCCCAGCATATCATACGATTCCGGGGAGAGATGCGCCGCCGATAACCACTCCTCCGTCGCGTTTCCTTCAGGACCGGCTCGCTGCGGGCGAGAGCCCGAGCCATCCCCGATCGAATGCGGGCTAACACTGGGCACCGATACGCTAATCTCGTTGGTTGTGGGCGATCGGTGGTGAAATACAGATCCGGGCGAACTCTGCTGTAACGGCGATAGGGCTGGCTGGGTGGCCTTGTGGTCTCCATTGGATTCTTTCCCGTAGGTCAAGGTCGAGTCAGTCGCCTCGGTCGGCCCGGTCTCCATCTTGGAGCGCGCAATGCGTCCTCGCTTCCGACGCTCGCGAGTGAATTCGCAGTGGGTGTCGCTACGTAGACAGCGCGAGCAGGGAAAGGCGCGATCGCAGCGCACCCGGCGAGTGTGACACGAATCACAGGCGACTCGGTTGCGCCGCCAGCGTCGTTTGCCATTGGGAAGGTCGACGGGGCCGGGGGAGGCTGAGGGTAGATCCCCGGACTGGGATTCCATGAGGGTATTTCAAGGCGACATGGGGGATACCAGGATGCAAAGATGCTGGGATGCTGGGATGAGAACCTAAGTGGGATATGGGGAAAGCAGAAAAGGCCTGCGGGGAAAGTGGACTCCAATGTCGGGTCTTACATGACAATGACACCCGTGGACCCCCCAAGTACTTTCGATTCGTTCGCTTTTTATGACCGTAAACTACAGGAGCAACGCCAAAAGCCACGGTACAATTTAAGGTAGTGTCCTTGCACTAGTTTCACCCCCAACTCCGCTCTCCGAGACACCATTCACCTTGCACCTTTCACCGCTGTAAAGCTCGCTTAAAACGCTCTAGTGCTTGGTTCCGCATTTCCGAGTGCTCGACGATCGGCTCGGGGTATCCGTTCTTCTTCGCGATCGAACCGGCTCCCCGCTTATAGGGCTCATGGATAGCCTTGTCCTTGATCTCGCGCAGCTCGGGCACCCAATGCCGGATATACTCACCGTCTGGATCAAATCGCTCACTCTGTCGTAGGGGATTGAAGACACGGAAATAGGGCTGCGGGTCCACGCCAGTGCTGGATCCAAAACCCCAGCCACCATGGTTGGAGGCAAAGTCCCCGTCGATAAGATGTTCCATGAAATAACGCTCACCTCGACGCCAGTCAAGCAGCAGATCCTTGGTCAAGAAGGACGAGACCACCATGCGTGTGCGGTTGTGCATCCAGGCTGAATGCTTGAGCTGGCGCATCGCCGCATCGACAATGGGAAATCCAGTTTTGCCATCACACCAGGCCTGGAACTGATCCAAGTTGTACTCCCATTCAATATTGGTATGGTCCGGTTTGAAGCACTTGTTCATACTGCGTTCTTGGTCAGTCTCGAGTCTTGATTCGGCCAGGGCACAACACCTACCAAATAAACGGCCAGTTCACCAGCACATGCTTGTAAAAATCGCGCCAGGCCACCTCACTAATCCAGGAGATGTAGCCACTGTTATCCCGATCCAGGAAGTTTCGATTCGCTCTCTTCGCTGTCACCACAGCGGTGCGGGCACTCAGGGCCCCCGACGCAAAATACGGACTTAGGATGGAAGTATGCTTTCCCGACACTATGCTGCGCATCTTGTCGTACTCGCGACCTTTCTCCTCTAGGAACTTGTCCAGTCGTTGAGAGGCCTCGTGCTCGCCCGCCGGATACATAATTTCGAATCGTTTCTTTTCCTCCTCTGACAATTGCTTGTTGCTAGGGGCAGTCGGGATCTTGCAGTCAAAAAGCCCTGATAGCTTCTTCCGCGCATCGCCCGGGTTGGATCCGGGCTCCTCAGACAATTCAAGATAATCTGGGTTCTCTTTGAGAAAGGCGAGCCAGGAACGAAACCACGGGGTATAGACTGCATACTGTTTGTTCTGCTGGCTGCTCAGGGCACCTGGGGTCACAACGCAGGTGTCATGGGAAAGAGCAAGGTCAATCTCCTTGGCAGCACAGAGACGAACGAGTTTCGCCTCCCGTCGTAATTCATCCACCTCATACTCGATGTTGGCATATATGTGCTTGGCCTCCCATTGCTGGCACAATTCCACGATCCGACCCGGAATGGCTTTCCGCTTCTCCTGGGTCTCCATATAGAGAGGTATATCGAGCTCTGCCAGATCCGTCTGCAGCCGCTTCAGCGTGCGCAGGGTGAAGTCGACTCGTGCCGGACTGGTCAAGTGTGCAGCCCAGTCCTCCGGAGACAGGATGTAGAGACCGATCAGTGGGATCTGGTGATCGCGCGCCAGCTGGGACGCCGCATGAAGCGCACGATTGTCATGGAGACGCAAGTCACTCTTGAACCAATGCACCACGGTTTTCCCCGGGCCGATCGCGCGACGCTTGTCCGAGGTGTCACGACACGCCGCCTCCAGCAGTTCGATGGGTCTTTCGAGGATTCCGTCGTTGTAGGCCTGGCATCGCTCATTGCTCATTTCCGGAGGGTAGAATTCGCGCAGGACGATTCCGAAATCCTCGGTCTGCTTTGCATTGGGATGCGGTTCGCGTAGATCCGACCGGCTTCGCTTGTTGATCTGGGCATTCTGCGGCTTGCCATCCGCGTCGGACGTCTTGCGTTTGGGCATCTGGGAGAGAGCACGGGGCGAACTTGTAGTTCTGGAGGTCAATGCCCACCGGGGATAGAAAAGAGGTCGAGAATAACTAGCGAGATTCAAAGGGCGCATTGCATCGCGCAGGTTAGGGGATGCGACACGTATTCCAGCTCGCGCGACGCGATGTCATCGATCGAGCGATCGAGATTCCTGACGTCACCCCGATCTGGAAGCCCACGGATTGCTAGGGATTCCATGATTTAAGAGACGAGCTGGCTGAAACAGGACTTAAGCAGTAAGGTCAAGAAGGAATCGCATTGATATTTGTCCTGGAATCAAATCGCGCCGACCATTTTCACTGAGACCTTTTCATACTTGCCGCGACTTGCGTGACACTCAAGTAGTAACCTAGGTGATCGAGACAACAACTCTTCTGATTTCTGGATGTTCTTAGTTTACTTGTTCAGTTTAGCGATTCCATTTCCTGACAATTTCATCATAATCATATGCGACTAGCTGGACCTCACCAAGTATCCGAGTCCACTGCACGAATTACATGAGAAACTGGATTCAGGGACGCCACTCGGACCCTGTTTCCAATATTTCCCATATTTCCCATGTTCCCAATTTCCAGGCCCCTAGATCTGCACACTCCAGAGGACACCCGCCAATCGAGAAGATGCAGGCCGAGAAATCTAGGGGGTCTGCAGGGGTTCAACAGGACAGGAACCAGCGGAGAGTCGAATCAGGACGCTACATTTACATAGGACACTAGTTGAGAGTCTGTGAATCATTATCGATCCATATCCAGTGAAAACATCCAATTCAAGTCTCAAAATTGATAAGATGGAATATGAGCCAGACCAACGGGCTAGCGGAGAGTAAATCTCATCGGTTCCACTGGGATGATCCATACTCTATGGTCCATGACCCACAATTCACGATCCGCGCCTCCGCACGGTTCAATGGCGTCTAGGATGCGGAGTACACATTGGCGGATGTCCATTGTGGTACTGTAACCCCAGAACCATGGATTCCAGCTCCTGAAAGCTGTCACCGACTCAACTCTTACCTCCCAAGGTTGAGTCTCTCTGCATCCGTACCACTTCTGGTTACGCTCACACCATTGAAACAAAGCGTTCGCTTGGAAAACGCTCGAGCGCAGGGTCGTGGGAAGTCTTCATCGACTCAGTTCCTTGCCCAATGTTTCCTCTTCAATGTCGCCCAGCGCCTCCAATATCGCGGCCGCGCTGATGCACAATTATGGCGTTGGGGATGAGGTTCGCAGTCAGGTCATCGCGGCGTTCGCTGCCATCGCCTGGTATAATGCAATTGAACTCATCGTCCTCTGTTTCGTCACCTTCAAGCGTCGCCGCGGTTGCTATTTCTGGAGTCTCCTCGTCTCCTCAGCTAGCATCATCCCAAACTGCCTCGGCTATGTCCTTCTTTTCTTTCCAACCGGGGTCACGCCCTACTTCTGCGTCACATTGATCATCTTGGGCTGGTATGTCATGGTGACCGGCCAGTCAGTCGTGCTCTGGTCCCGTCTGCATCTTGTTCTACAGAATACCAAGGTGCTGTGGGGAGTCTTGTGGATGATTATCATCGATGCCTTTCTGTTCCATGTCCCCACGACCGTGCTACTGTATGGCGCGGTCGCTGCGCCTGACAGCAACTGGCTTGATGGCTACAACATCATGGAGCGCATTCAGCTCATCGGGTTCTGTATACAGGAACTGATAATCTCCGGTATATATGTGTGGGAAACGACAAAACTCCTACGCCTGCGCCCCCATGGTCGACCGCAGGGCATCTTGTACCAGCTTCTTATTATCAACATCATCATTCTCGTCCTCGACGTGGCGGTGGTAGTTATAGAGTTCGTGGGTTACTATTCCGTACAGGTCATGTTCAAGCCGGTCGCGTACAGCATCAAGCTCAAACTGGAATACGCCATTCTAGGCAAGTTGGTGGCCATCGCTCAAAGTGGACATTATGAAGACGAGCTTCCCTCGAGCGCCCGTGGGGAAATCACAATTAACTCCTTTTCCTCCTCAACGGAGCCCCCAACATCCTCTCGTCGTCATCTGCGTGGCCAGTATAGCCCGCCGTGGTTTTGGGAGACTTCACAACAGTCCATCTCGGTGTCCTCGACGGTCCGATAGCAGCACACATTTGCATACTCGCATGCCTTAACGATCTTCACGAATTACTATCATGTATTTATACCATCATTCATAACGTTTATCAAAAGAAGAGCAATAATTTAATCTGATATCTAAGCGTCAAATTTGCGAGATTTACGATGCGTTATTCGTGTTGACCCCCAATGGACGCGGTACTGACTCCAGCCTGGAGCACCAGCACGCTACTCAAGATCTTGTTCTCGGGCTGCACCATGGCCACAGCCACCGGCCCCAGCGCGCATAAGGTATCCGGTCCAATGCTCTCGTCAATAGGAACTGCAATGTCTGACCCTGAAACCCTGCTCCGCCGTCCGACAACCACGATACTACCAGATTTATTTGAAAGCTGCGCGAGGTCTGTCCGAACAACCGCCAATGCCAGGGAGGACTCATCAGTGATGCCCCCACGAGCCCCCAGCGGTTGGAAAACGACACGTTCCTGGAGCTCGCGTGGAACGGAATCGCGCAAGGTCTCAAAGAAAACGAGATCGGATTGGCTATCATTTGGTATATTACCAGAAGCAGTTTTGGTCGCCTCTGTGTGCAACCTTCCGACCTGAATGATGGTCGCAGTGACCTGCTCGTTTTGAACTAATTGCAGAACAAATCGAAGTGCGAAACGATCATCCTCACCCCCAGGAATGGAAGCACGACGTGGTGTGAGCGATGAATAGGGGATGAGCGAGACCATGTAGAACCTGTGATGCTTAATCCGCTGGAGGACCGAGCAGTTGTTGGGCGTCTGGCGGTTGGAGAGTCGGAGCTATTCTCAATCAAAATGCCAATGTGGCCCGGCACCCGCTCCAGGATGTGGGCAACAAAATCGGTGTATGGTCCATTTGCAAACCGATCAGCGATATCAACCTCGAGTCCATTTTGGCGATCGACCAATGTGCCTGTTTCGCTCCAAGGGAGAAGAAGGAGATCTGCCGTATCCTGAAGAGCCATGGCAATGATTGTGTCGGCATACGAATGCTCGGGCACGACCGATACTCCGGCCATAAGTGAAACATCGTTCCACTCCCCAAACGCACGGAAGGTGTTAACTACCGGGTCCCATAGGGCCTGTTCGCCTGCGGAGACCCTCATCACACTAGAATCACGGTCGGTGAGCTCCACCAGTCGCACACCGTGGACACGGAGCGTATCTTCCTCGTTCTCTATTGGGTTGATCGCATCCTCCAAGTTTTGCTCCGTCTGCTTTGGTTGTTTGGCAGGATGCACCAGAGGGGTTGGCGGGGCACCTCTACCGCTGGGGCTCAGCAGAGCCACCAATGTGCAGATGCCAGAAAGACCATCCAAGCGGAGGTAGACCAGGAGCTTCCGGACAGGGACCGTCTTCAGCTGATCTTTGACTTGGGCAATACTATCCGTACGACCTTCTTGCTGGATGCGATTGCCCTCCCAGTCAATCTCTCCGCGTCGCCATCGCGCAACCTTGGCCTGATACCAGGTGGGATAGAGGACCGTGGTTAAAGGGGTCGTCAAGAAGGTTGTCACGAGAGCCATGACAACGAATATCGTGAATGTGCGCGTGCTCAAAATTTTTGCTTGCAGACCGATATTCTATGACTTGTTAGTTTGTAGAACGCACGATAAGATCAGCCGACCGACCAAGACAATTAGCTCCACCAAACCCTTGCAGCTCATGAGAACACCGATTGAGAAACTCTCGCGCCATAACAACCCAGAGGCGCGTGAAGCAAGAGCGCCTCCAGCCACTTTAGCCGTGAATGCAATGGAAATGACGCCAGCTACGTAGCCCCAGACGATCCCGGTATCCAGCAGTCCCAAATTGGTGCTAAGACCAGATAGTGTGAAGTACAGAGGGAGGAAAAGGGCGGCAACGAGATCTTCAATCTTCTCGGTCAGCTTGATGGCAAAGCCACCCTCGTGTGGGCACATAAGGCCAATCACAAACCCGCCGAAAATGGCGTGCACCCCAATGGCTTGAGTGAAGAACGCAGATGCCAGGGCAATAAGCAGGGTCAAGGTCACGACTGACTGACTGGGGCCTTTTTGCAAACTTCCCGTACGCTGGAGAAAGCGGTGGAAGATGGGGCGAAAGGCAAATATCAAGAAGAGCATGTAGCCCACACAAACGAGGAGCACGTAAAGTGCGGTGATACCACTTCCCGCATTCACCAAAGCTACGCAGAGAGCGAGTAAGATCCAGCCGACAACGTCATTTCCGACTCCAGCCGACAGGACAATCACGCCAACGTTGGTTCCGAGAAGCTTCAGCTCCGTCAAGATACGGCAGAGCACCGGAAACGCTGTGATGGCCATAGCGATACCGATGAAGAGAAGGTAGGTCCCAAAAGCGATTGGTACCGTACTTGGGTCATCATGAAATTGGTTGTAGAGACCGTAGGAGATGGCACATCCCAGGCCAAACGGCAGGACCATGCCTGCAGCAGATACCCCCAGGGCCACCCGCCAATTACTTACTAGAAAGCGTAGGTCAGTTTCCAAACCCACCAGGAACAAGAAGAGCACTAGTCCCAAGTTGGCAACCACGTTTAAGCTGGGGATGCTGGCGCTGGGAAAGATGGCATCGGTGAAACCTGGGATTCGGCCCAGCACCGAGGGACCTAGAACAATGCCGCCGATGACCTCTGCGATGACTCGAGGCTGACGAATCTTAGAAAGAGGCCAGTGAATAAGGCGGCAGAGCACGATGATGATCACCGCCTAGTCCGGATTAGGTTGCGTTCAGTGAGATCGCATGTCAAACACCGTACCTGGATGATGAATAGCACAAGAGGATTCTTGGAGTCATAGTGAGACGGGCTTCCACCCTCGAGAATGCCTCCTTGCGGGCTCACGCGCGAACTGGAGGCGGTATCGTTACCCGTCATCATGAATCGTGAAGGAGGGAGTGAAGAAAGATCCAAGATGCCAAACCCCCGCGGGGTTGAAACTCATCAGGCATGATCACGTTTCGCAAGCCACAAGCCAAGAGCTCTGATAGATCTTGGCGGATCCTGGATCAGGTGGATTGGTTCCTCAGATGGGAACTAACTTGCTCAGGAAAACGGTCCAGACGACCCTGGAGATCACGTGACTCCGCCTGATGGCCTTCCAGGTTGGACAAAAGCATAATCTTGTCCCAAAGAATGGCCGTACAGATTGATTGAGCCGTGTGAATTGAATTTTGGAGTTGCTCTGCTGTCCGAGATCGGATGTTCATGAAACTCGGAAAGTGTGTCACGGAATGGTTCGTGAGTGTACGTTGTGTCCGTTCCGGGATTGCCCAGGCCTCCAACGCCCTCTTCAGGTAATTCAGATCCCGGAGTGAAAGATCAGATCTATTAACAGCCGAACATCTGGCTTGATAAAATTTTAGCCCTTGTCCCCTAACCCCTTTCCCACACCCCATACCATGGGTCCACCCGTCGGGCCCGAGTTTTGGAACTGTAGTCGGACTCGAAGCACAGAAATCCGGACGGCCGCTAACGCGTGGAGACATTTCATGTTATATATAGCAGGGAAATGTGCGGCCCTGTCTAGCCAATCACTCGAGCCAAAAGAGGAGAATGGGCGTACTATTCATGAGAGAGCAATCCCGAAGCCCCCACAACTGCACGGGGTTCGCCTCCAAAGCTTATAAAGTCGGCGATCGGGGCTCCGCGTTGCCGAGCCTGCATGGATTATCGCCGCGCGTTGTGGCTCGGGATGGTTATCTCCGGACACTGAAGCATAAAATTCAACATCTTCGGCGTTTATGCCCCCGGTGCCCGTGGTAAATTTCTACAATGCGTGGTATTTCTATTGATTCCCTCCCAGGTGCTGCTTGAGCATCCTTCCCCGCTGTAATATTCTGTCCCTTCCCTGACAGCCGGCATTTACCCTTGGTCATGGACAAAGAAGCCGAGATGGAGTTCGCTCCCATCACGGAGCGGACTTTAACCGCACTCGATGAGCGAGAGATCGAAACCTTGAACCGCATTGCTTCGAGTAAGCTCGGTCAAAAACTATCGCTTACTGCTAGCCGAAGAGAAAGTAGGGATCCCCGATTAGATCCCAGCAGCCCGGAATTTGATCACCATCGATGGGCGCAGAGCGTACTCTCTCAAGTACATGAATCGGGAATTGATATTCCTCACCAGAGCGTGGTCTTTTCAGACCTTTCAGTCAGCGGCTCTGGTTCTGCATTGCGATTCCAGGAAACGTTGATCTCCACTCTCACACTGCCCTTTCGCCTCGCTACTAGAGCTCTTTCCGGAACCCGTTCACCCCCTCGCAAAATCCTTCACAGCTTCGATGGTCTTCTACAGGGTGGAGAGCTCTTGCTTGTCCTGGGTCGACCCGGCAGTGGATGTACGACTTTTCTCAAAACGATCTGTGGACATCTGGGAGGTCTCTCAATGGATCCCAACAGCAAAATCCATTTCGAAGGCGTCGACTATGAACAAATGATCAAGCACCACCGCGGCGAGGTCGCATATAACAAGGAGGTCGACTTACACTTCCCTCACTTGACCGTTGGCCAGACACTTTCCTTCGCTGCCCACGCCCGTGCTCCTCATCAGCGTATCCAGAACATGACACGCAATGAATACGTCGACGCCATCACCCAAGTTGTCATGTCGGTTTTTGGCCTTTCTCATACCACGAACACCAAAGTCGGCAGTGAATTCGTGCGTGGCGTGAGTGGAGGCGAGCGAAAGCGCGTCTCTATCGCTGAAATGTTCATCTCTCGTTGCCGCATCGGAGCTTGGGATAATAGCACTCGCGGGTTGGACGCCGCTTCAGCCCTGAAGTTTGTCCGGGCTCTGCGCCTTGCAGCCGACATGGGAGACTCCTGCCATGCAATTGCCGCCTACCAGGCATCGCAGTCCATGTTTGATCTGTTCGACAAAGTGGTGCTGCTCTACGAGGGCCACGAGATCTACTACGGCCCCCGCGATCGAGCTGTCTCTTACTTCCAAGAGATGGGATGGGTGAGACCTGAGCGTCAGGTCAGCGGTGATTACTTGACCGCAATCACCAACCCAACTGAGCGCAAGGCCATTGCGGGTATGGAAGAAAAGGTGCCTCGCACCGCGAAGGAATTCGCCGAGTACTGGAAGAGAAGCCCGGATTATCAGGCCCTGCGCAACGAAATCACCACTTTTGAGCGAGAGCATCCCCCGAGTGGTCATGATGCTCAAAGGCTCCAGGCCAGCCACGAAGAGCAGCAGGCGCGTCACACAAGGTCTCGCAGCCCCTACCTTCTTTCCATCCCCATGCAGGTTCGACTGTGCATGACACGAGCCTACCAGAGAATGCTCAACGACCTCCCAACCGCCTTGTCTCCGCTTATTGTCCAGTTGATTCTGTCGCTCATCATTGGATCCGTCTTCTACAATACCCCGAACACTTCGAGTTACTTTTTCCAAAAGGGAGCTGTTCTGTACTTTGCAGTCCTCATGAACGCATTGTTGACAATGAATGAAATCATGCAGCTCTACAGCCAGCGACCCGTGGTAGAAAAGCAACATGGGTATGCCTTCGTCCATCCGTTCACCGAGGCTTTAGCCAGCATTGTGGTGGACCTGCCCATCAAACTCGTTCGCATCTCCATATTCAGCATTGTCCTCTACTTCATGGCCAACCTGCGTCGTGAACCTTCCCAATTCTTCATCTTCTATCTATTCCTGGTCTTCGCCGTTTTGACAATGTCCGGTATCTTCCGCAGCCTGGCAGCTCTTACCAAGTCTATCGGCCAGGCCATGGCCTTTGCTGGTATCATGGTTCTCTGTATCGTTGTCTACACTGGCTTCACGCTTCCGCAACCTTACATGCACCCGTGGCTGTCTTGGATTCGGTGGATCAATCCCATTTATTATACATTCGAGGCACTGATTGCCAATGAGTTTCACGGTCGCGAGTATGACTGCTCTGCATTCATTCCGAGCTACGGAACTGGTACTTCCTTCATTTGTTCCGCAGTTGGAGCAGTGGCTGGCCAACGCACAGTATCCGGCGATGCATTCATCGAGCAAAACTACGAGTACACATACGCCCACATTTGGAGGAATCTGGGAATATTGATCGTGTTCATGATCTTCTTCAACTCAGTCTATCTGCTCGCTACTGAATACCTTGGCGCCGATAAATCCAAGGCTGAAGCTCTTGTTTTCCGCCCCGGTCACGCACCCAAATATCTGCAGCCTGGCAATGATGCCGAAGGAGGCATTTCGGACCCCAATTTTCTTGAAGTTCAAAAAACAAATGACACGATCGGCCTGCCTCAGCAGAGAGATGTGTTCTCCTGGAAATCTGTCAACTATGATATCCCCGTCAAAGAAGGCACTCGTCGATTGCTCGACAACGTCTCTGGGTGGGTGAAGCCTGGTACTTTGACTGCATTGATGGGTGTTTCCGGGGCCGGTAAAACGACTCTGCTAGATGTGCTCGCTCAGAGAGTCTCTATCGGTGTCGTGTCTGGAGATATTCTTGTGAATGGACAGCCGCTTTTGCCGAACTTCCCCCGGCGCACTGGCTATGTGCAGCAGCAGGATCTTCATCTCGATACTACCACGGTGCGAGAGGCACTCCGATTCAGCGCCATGCTGCGTCAACCCCGGAGCGTGTCGAAGCAGGATAAACACGAGTATGTGGAATCAGTCATCAAGGTTCTGGGCATGGAAGACTTTGCCGAGGCCGTTGTTGGTTCTCTTGGTGAGGGCTTGAATGTGGAACAACGAAAGTTGCTTAGCATCGGTGTTGAATTAGCTGCCAAGCCCACACTCCTGATTTTCTTGGATGAGCCCACTAGTGGTCTCGACTCCCAGAGTTCATGGACCATTTGCCAGTTCCTGAGGCGCCTCGCAGATCATGGCCAAGCCGTATTGGCCACCATTCATCAGCCTAGCGCCACCTTATTCCAGTCCTTCGATCGTTTGCTTTTCTTGGCCAAGGGTGGAAAGACTGTATACTTTGGTGACATTGGCGAGGAGTCTTCTACTCTTCTGGAGTATTTTGAGGGCAATGGAGCCCGGGAGTGCGAAGAATTGGAGAACCCTGCCGAATACATCCTTGATATGGTCGCAGGAGACGGGTGTCCTGGCGTGGACTGGGCTCAGGTCTGGAACAAAAGTCCGCAATACGACGAGGTCCTGACCGAGGTGGATCGCCTTCATTCCATTCGAAGCGGGTCAACCCACGAACCTTTCGAAGACGACAATAATGCCGAATTTGCCATGCCTTTGCACACACAACTTTGGATTGTTCTTGGAAGATGTTTCCAGGGCTATTACCGGCAGCCAGATTACATCTACGCCAAGTTCATTCTCGGTATTGCATCGGGTCTCTTCATTGGTTTTTCATTCTGGAAAGCCGACAACTCCGAGCAGGGCTTCCAAAACGTCCTTTTCAGTATTTTCCTGCTGTGTACTATCTTCAACACCCTCGTGAACCAGATCATGCCTCGCTTCGTCACTCAACGCTCCCTCTATGAGGTGCGGGAACGTCCGTCTCGCATCTACTCCTGGAAAGTCTTTATACTCTCTCAGATCCTGGTGGAAGTTCCCTGGCAAGTCGCCCTCGGTGTGTGCTCGTGGGCGTCATTCTACTGGTCCGTTTTTGGTACCGACCAAAACGCCGAACAACGCGGTCTGATCATGCTATTCATTGTTCAATTCTTCATCTACGCCGCCTCCATGGCCCAGTTCGTCGTCTGCTCTATCCCAGAACCAACGCTGGGTGCGATGCTCGCCACTTTGATGTTCGGTCTCTCGTTCATCTTCAACGGTGTTATGCAGCCACCTTCCGCCTTGCCTAGATTCTGGATTTTCATGTATCGGGTTTCCCCCTTCACTTACTACATCAGCGGCATCGCAAGCACAGCCCTTCACGGTCGATCAGTGACGTGCAGCGCAGCGGAGCTCAGTGTGTTCCCTCCACCGGCGGGACAAACCTGCGAAGAGTACATGGCGAAGTATTCAGTGGACAGCACCGGTACTCTTACCGACGCGAGTCGGAATTCTACCTCGAGCTGCGAGTGGTGCAGTATGACTTCAGCTGACGAGTACCTGGCGGGCCGCGAGATCTATTTTGATCAGCGCTGGCGAAACTATGGTATCTTCTGGTGCTACTTCATCTTCAATATCTTTGGAGCCATCCTTTTGTACTATCTGTTCCGCGTGAGGACCTCGAAGGCCAAGGTCGGGAAGGGCAAGAAGTCTGCGTGAACGGGGACGGCAGGCTCCCATTGCACCGCATTGAACATTCCGAAGGTTGAAGCCAATCTTCCTGCTTCTCGTAAATAGAAATTAATATTACCTATCGCTTTTCCACTTTTCCACTTTTGACAATTTCAGTAAATTTTCAATGTTCGGATTGATGTGTGAACGCTCCGCGTGATATATATCTTTGTCTAGGTATCCGTGGATTCTAAGATTGCGTGCAAGGGGACACGTAGGCATCTGGTATGCATTGGATGTCTCTGGACCTGGGGAGAATTGACGGTCTGAATATAAACATTGAAAGAAGACGCAACTGTTGAAACGCGGCTCCACCAGTTTCTAAGGTTCCAAGGTTGCATGGAGAACTGCACATCATCGACTCGCGGTCCACTCCTCGTATTGCTCCCCCAGCGCCTATTTTGAATTGCTCCTGTGCATCTTACATGACTCCAATCTGACTCAGATCTTCTATAAAGTGATTCACTTGCCCCCCTTTCCCCTCCCTTCTTGCCCCCACAAGGTGCAACTCCAACCCCACCGACCCCATGTCGTTTCCCCCGCCCCCCGCAGCTCTCAACTGGAACGATATCGGCTTCAAAGTCCGCGATGGTACGAGTGTCTGTCTGTGTCGATTGAATTTTCACTAACTTCCCAGTCAATGGCCATGTCGAGTGCCATTACTCCCTGTCCGGCTCTGGTCAGTGGTCTGCCCCGCGTTTCGTGGCCAGCCCATTCCTGTCCATTCACGGAATGGCTCCGGGGTTGAATTACGGGCAGCAGGTCTACGAGGGCCTGAAAGCCTTCCGACATGCAAATAATAGCAAGATCACCGTCTTCCGTCCCGATCGCAATGCCAAGCGGATGCAGAACTCTGCCGAGGTCGTGTCCCTCCCGCCAGTTCCAGAGGACCTCTTTCTCCAGTGCGTTCGCCTGGCAGTGGGCGCCAATGCTGAATACGTCCCTCCTCACGAGTCTGGCGCGGCGATGTACGTGCGACCGCTTCTTTTTGGATCATCTGCGCAGCTAGGATTGAGCCCACCGGACGGCTACACCCTGGTGGTATTTGTCATGCCGACCGGGGTGTACCATGGAGCCAATGCCGTCGACGCTTTGATTCTCGAGGACTTTGACCGATCGGCACCACACGGAACTGGCCACGCCAAGGTGGGAGGGAACTATGCTCCTGTTCTCCGACACAGTGATAAGGCACGGCGCGAAGGATTTGGAATTACATTGCACCTGGACAGCGCCACCCGAAGCGAGGTGGACGAGTTTTCAACGTCCGCCTTTATCGGCGTGAAAAGGGACGGGGACAAGACCACCATTGTACACCCGGATAGTCGCAATGCCATCGACTCGGTAACGGCGGCCTCAGTGGGTGAGATTGCGCGCAGCCTCGGATTCTGTGTTGAAAAGAGACGGGTTGACTATGCAGAATTGAGTCAATTCGACGAGATCATCGCTGCAGGTACTGCGGCAGCACTGGTTCCTGTGCGGAGTATCACTATGCGCTCCAAAGGTGATAAATTCCAGTACCGTTGCGGTGACCAGAATCAGGGAGGTGAGGTGTGCGTCAAACTACTGCAGACCCTACGTGGTATTCAATCAGGCACCATCGGGGACACTTGGGGCTGGAACATGGAAATTCAAGCCCCACCAAAGGACTGTTCAGAGGAAGGCACCGCTGAGCGGGATGAAAGCGGAGCCAACGTTCCTTGAGGCCTTGAAAAAAGCGTTGTAGCCAAGGGATTTGAACAAATACACCGATTAAACCCGAGTGGGAAAGATAATACACGAATTTTCTCTTCATATATCACAAATCAATATCTGAATAGAGAAAGCCCTAAATGTATCACAGAATGGCATCACCAAAACATGCAAGACAAAGTGTCAGGCTAGGGACCCAGACCGAGCCCTTTATGGTGGAATTCGACATGAGATTGCATTGAGTCGCAGGCCAGAGCTGTTTCTGGAGTCCCCGTCGAGCCGAGGATCGCCCTAAGGGCTGATGTCGTCGTCGCTGTCACTGCTCGAATCAGAGGTATCGTCGCCCAGATCGAAGATACTCGGGCGTGATGGAGGGGGAGCAACGGTTGTTGGAGGTCGGGTTCGGGCTATTTCCGCTGCTATCTCTTCTTTTTTGCGAGCAAGCACTTCTTTGAAACTGGGATACGGCTTGTGTGGTTGCTGGGATGGGGGTTGACTGGCAGGATGACTCGGACTAGGATGTCTCGAGTTTGACGACTGACTGGCCATAGCAAAGCTGACTGCATTAGTATTGTCATTACTGGAGCAAGATATGCACTTACTTAGAGTTCGGCCCTTTCACGGAATCATCAGACTCAGACTCAGACTCAGACTCGGACTCCGATTCAGCCTCGCCATCTATAAACACGTCTGTGGTATTTCTCGGAGCATCATCCCCGGCTTCTTCCTCGGATTGTTCCTCAGATTCTTCATCAGATCCTCTCGCAGAGTATTCTCCAGAGCCACCGAGCTGCATTTCAGTCTGAACTTGCTGCTGGGCCTCCTGGGCCTCGGATTCTTCAGAGGAGTACTCTCCAGAACCGCTGAGCTGCATTTCAGCCTGCACTTGCCGTTGGGCCTCTTGTTCCGCGCCAGACTCATCTTGTTCTTCTCCGTTTCTGCCTTGCTCATCGTCTGCATTTTGATGGGCATCTGCATAGTCAGACGATGAACTGGATGCAACAATCACTTCCTGCCCTGGACTTTTGGCGGGTATGTCAGAAGAGTCGGGTCCAGTATTGACATCCGACATCTTTTTGCCAGGAGATGCAACCGGAATCACGACAGACGGCACAGGCGTTGAATGGGTATAGGATCGGGTTTTGGCAGATGGGGTTGTATCATTGTCTTGGGATGTCAGAGGGGCTGTAGTTGGAATCGACCGCGTCACCTTTGAAGCTGACTGAGGTAAAGGGTGCTCTGTCGGAGGAGTGCTTGTATTTTCCAAGTGCCTCAACTTGTTTTCGAGGCGCCGGACCCTCTTAAGGCAATTCCTTCTTTCACTAGAGCTTTTCGTAGCGGTTGCTTTCGCAAGTATGCCATAGTTATCCAATAGCTTGACCAAGATCTGCCGGGCTGGCGAGTCAGCATCGAGATCTTGCAATTTATCCCGAATTTTCCGAGCTTCCTCAGCGTCTTTCTGCCCGGAGCTTGCCAGATCTTGGCTCCTTTCAGCCTTCAGGCCTTTTTGATTTTGAACCTCATTCTTATTCTTTCGTTTCTTTTCGGCCTGTCTCTTGGCCTCGTTGTCTTCCTTCTGATCTCGATCTTCACCAGGAGAGCCGAACTTCTTCTCCGCGTCGTCCTTCATCCTTTGAATCCTCTCGGCTGTGAATGTAGACGGGTAGACGATTTGACTGCTCGATGGTGTGGCAGATAACATAGAAATATTGTTTGCAATGTTCTGAGGAGTCGCCGTTGCATCATTTCTTCTAGCAGAAGGATCCGCCTCGACGAATGAAACAGGCTGGCGGTTGTCGTTGTGACGAGAATGGTTCTTGCGTAAAGCGGACGACTGTAAAGGTTGCGATCTTTCCATCACAGAGCCACGGTTCAAGGATGGAGAAGGCGCACTGCTAGGCAAAGGGAGGCCATTGGAAGAAATCTGACTAGACTCGGGGTGGAGCATCGCTGAAGGACTTTTGGTGATAGCAACCCCTAGACCCCGCTTCAAGGGGCTAGAAGGGGTTTGGACACCAGGTCTCCGTTGTCGAGGACTGGCAAATGATGAAATTTGTGGGTGTCGTGCTGGACTCGTGGAAAAGGTAGAGGTGGCCGACATCTCGGGTGCGGGTTGGGCTCGTGAGTTATTTCCCAGTCGAGGCTCTTTGACAGGCATATCCAGCTCCGAACTTTGCTTTCGTTTGCGGGGGTGTAACTCTGGGTGTGATTCCTGTGCCCCTGGAGAGTCACCGCCGAGCTCTTCGCTGCCTTGGTGATCAAAAGGAGGAGTTCCAGGGATCGCGGCATCTTCGATGGAGGAGAGTGAAAAATTGCAATGTTGGCGCTTGACGGAGTCGTCTTCCATAGAGTCGTTTTCTTCTTCAATCGGAGAAATTTGTTTGCTGACGGCTTCCATCTTCTGAGACAGTCTCCGCTTCGCTTCTGTCGCGGTGCTGTCCCAGTCATGAACCACGGATCCGAATCGTTGGGCGCGGCCCTGGGAAGGCGTTTGGATCACGCGAACAACACCATATTGATCATAGCCGTCTGCACGGGCTTTGCCCTCGTCGATAAATATGCTGGCGACGGACAGATCGGGCTCCAGAAAGACCGAGGGCTTGGCATCGTCGACCAATTTCTGGATCGCCAGAGGTCTGCAAGGATGAAATCGTTAGCAAATGGGCGCTTAGACGATGCTGACAGGTTCAGTTGACTCGGCACTCACTCTTCATCGGGCTTGATGCTTCTCCACTTGTCTGTGATGATTGAACAGAGCTCACCGAAGCTCGTACCCTCTGGATCCTTGAGCGGTAACCAGAAAGAAATGTATTCCTTCCACGGTGAGGGGTCTGCGATACCGCGCTCGTCGTTCGCAATGAGTGTGGGAAACCGACTCCGGCTAGTGGTCTGCTGCCTTGGGAAGACCCTGACCTCCAATTTCAAATTCACCATCTCGAGCTCGACGTGGTGGCGAGGGGGCGCGTTGAGGGAACAACGGAGAGGTCGGAGAGAGTGTCAAACATGCATTGCACTTGGCAAGAAAGGAGAGGAGCGTTCAGAAGATAGAAAAGTGGGTGGATGCAAAAGGAACGATCCGGTGGAAAACGAAGAAGCTTGCGCTGAAGCTTCTTTGTGGCCTGCATTATCAGGCCGCCATGTAAACTAGACATCAACACCGCGAATATGAAAAATAAATCTAGGCCTAGTTTTACATTTGATTCTTTCCGTCCTTGTCACCGGACATCAATGGATCTTTTTTTTGTTTGTTCTTTTTTTACCCCATGCATCGCCCTTGATCTTCATATCAACCTCGTTATGTTTCTCTTTCAAGGTCATTAATTTTAATTTCAAGGTCTTGAGCCCGCAGAAGGTGCTCCATACTCTCATATTGGATCAGTAGCTGCAACTTCTTGCATAGGGCCGGGTGTGGAACTTGGCTTTCATGAAAAAAAAAATAGTTGTTCTTCCTAGTAGTTTCCCCAGCCCTGGCAGTTGATCTCTGAGCTTTATTTAAACAGGAGGCTAAATGATTGGAGCGAAGTCCTGTTCTTTACACCCCATGGTAGGGTATGCGAAGTGTTGGCAGCCTGGGAGGATTACAAATAATATCACATTGGTGTAGGTTGCCTGCTCACGATCGAACCGAGCCTCATCTTGAACACATAATCCCCCAAACCGAGGCTAAGTAGGAAAAACGTTCATGCGGATTCCAGCTGAACGCTAGAAAGAGCTATCGGTTTCTGCAGTAGAGTATAGCTCCGTTCCTGGATTCGTTAGATGTCAACATCGACCCCGGAGATGATGCAATCCGGAATCCGGGGGCGGTGATTGGTCACAATGGACGCCGAATGCAGTATCACCCAGACAGCTCACTTGGAGCTATTCGACGTCGTTGAAAGCTAATTCAGGCTTTAATTTGGACCGTTCAGCTTCCTCACGCATCTTGAACATCCTTGATCTCCGTCTTGATCACTTTCCAGGATCCTCAACCCCGGACTCCAATTTGTGGGGGGGCCATGACGGCGGCTCCAACCGATCCGGAGACCTGAACACACCTCAAATACAAAATCCGGCTTGGACCTTCCGGACCATGATCGAACATCGCACGATGATTTTGACCGTGGTCTACCCTCCACCATGACCGAACTCGGACCCGAACCCCTGCAGTCTCAAGAGCCTGAACGACCCGCCGACGCAGTCTTGAGAGAGACTCGACCCTCCTCTCCGCGCGATCGGGATGATCGGGAAGCTCTCGAGCTGCGGGAGATCCAAACCCAGGAAGATCATGAGCTGGATTACTCCTCCCCATCGGCCTCATCCGGCGAAGAATATCGTGTGACTCGACGGACAACCTCCCGCCGCAGCGTGCGACGGCCCGGCGTCGAGCGAAAAGGAACGTGGCACAAGATCTGTCGCTTCTGGACGCATCATGTCACTCTGACAGTGCCTCAGAAGAGTAACCGCGACCACTTTGGTGAGTAGTGATTCGATCCAGAGGGGCTGGTATCATCTTAACTGACGGGATGCTAGCTTTGGAAAGGACATTCCTCGCCTACATCCGCACATCGGTTGTCATCGCAATGCAAGGGGTTTTGATCGCGCAGCTGTTCCGTCTCCAGCGGTCACCCACTTCCGAGGACCGCCTCCGATTCTACGAGGTCGGTATCCCCCTTTCGGTGACTTGCCATTGCGTCGCTGTAGTGGTGGCCTTGATCGGGGCCTATCGATTCTGGAGGCAGCAAAGTGCAATCTCACGAGGCAAAATTCACGTCGGAGGATGGGAGCTGAATTGGGTTGGAATATTACTCTTCTCGGTAGGTGCAATCGCTAGTTTACGCGCAGTCCGATCAACGCAACTAAGGCGATTTAGATTATTCTGGTGACCCTGGTCATTTCTGTTGCGATTATCATCGAGATAGAGATGGACCCAGCCACTCTTATACAACGAATACTGCGCCGTTGAACTGAAAACGCAGTCCACTGCGATTTAAACGGAAATGACGAGCCTTAAGAGCCATTTATTTGTCAACGCCATGATGAAAAGTTTGCCAATCTATCTCCCCCACCTGAAGATTAGTTTCAATAAACTCCGATTGCTATTGCAGACGTTGTGAAGACTACGAGTTTCAATTCTCAAACGTTTCTAATGCATCGAAATAGATTTCTTGAATTGCGCAGCACATTTTCCGCAAGAAAACAGTTCCCTCGGAACACGTAGTATCTGCTGCTAGGCGTGCTCCTTGTGATTCTAAATGCCTAGGTATGGTTCGTACAGAAGAGCAAACACGACCACTCGCAGTATTGCATCAACCCCTGAATTTCCCCTATATCTCGGCAAAAATATGCCCCCCATTGCAACTTAAATGTTGGCACCGCCGTTCAAAGGCAATATTTGACCTAGACACAATTAGCCAGAATCCTAAAATCCCGTCGTCACATTCCACTCACCGTTGATCCATTCTCCAGCCGGACTGGCCAGGAATGCCACGACACGGCCAATGTCCGCGGGCACTCCACAGCGCTTCAGGGGGCTGCCGTTGGCCAGGGCCTGCTCGATCTCCTCGATTGATGAATTTTGATCGCAACCCGGGGCATAACGCCATGAGTTCTTCAGCCACATGTCGCTCTTCACCCCAGCTGGGGCGATCGCATTCACAGTGCATCGCTTCTTGCCGAAGTCGGCCGCGAAGCAGCGGGTGAAGCCCTCCACGGCGCTTTTGCTGCCAGCGTACAGCGAGTGCCCGGGAACACCCACACCCGCAGCGATGGAAGACATGAGCACAACACGTCCACCGGGCTGGATGTAGTCGTAGGCATTCTTGGCGACGAAGAACTGGGCTCGTGTGTTCAGGTCAAAGACGTCGTTAAAATCGGCTAGCGTCGTGTCTTGAAGAGAGACGAATTTCTCGGTGCCCGAGTTGGAGACGACGATATCGAGTTGGCCAAAGTGTGCCACCACCTGTCGGAACAGGTTCTCGATGGCCTCGACCTCAGTCAAGTCCGCCTGGAAGGCAGCCGCGTGGACGCCGTGGGATTCAAGCTCCTGCACCATTTTGTCCGCGGACTTGGGGTCCCGAGCGAAGTTGATGGCCACGGAAGCGCCCTTCTTGGCCAGTTCGAGGGCAATTCCAGACCCGATACCACGGCTGCCGCCCGTCACAAGGGCGACTTTGCCTGCAAGCTCCGCAGGATCGACGTTGGGATTGGTAGCAACCATCTTTACGGTTGATGATCGCAATGAGGGTGTAAGATCGGCTTGTAGATGATCAGACTAGATGACAGACAGCACGGGAGAGACACAGTTAAAACAAAAAAAAAAAGGTTCCATAGAAATAAGACAATGCGATGGTGCCTGGCTGAAACCAGAATTTTTGGTTCTCGTTCGATTGATCCATTCAGAGTAGCTAGGTCATCCCGATCCAAGCGGGTAGACCAGCTCTGGTACGGCTGTATAGTCCAAACCGTTCGGTCTGGCAATGTGAAAATGCGCAAATCACCGCATGCGGAAAGCTCGCCACAGAGGAAAAGAACGGTGTCTACTGTACGTCGCATCATCAGGTTTCAGTTGCATTGTCGTGTTCCTGCACATGGAGAAAAGATCTGGTATGCAGTCCGCATCCGGAACGCCTTGGGCCAAGGTCGTGTTGGCACAGAGGACCGGGAAGTACCTTCTCGCCACATGATATACCAAAGGAGTTCCTCGAGTCTATTTGCCCCGAGAAATATTCCAAGTACTGTGCAAACATGTCTCCCGCAATGAAAGCCCCGGAGCCAAATTTGGACATCAGCTTCCAAGGTGAGCTTCCAGAAATTCAAGTCGAAAACACGATGATTGATGATGGTAGACTATCTCGTTCTCTCCAAGCTGGTCTTCGATTGGGCTGATAGCTACGACGCAAAGGTAAATGATCAGATCTCGACCTAAGAATTCATTACTGATCATCTGTCTCAGGACTGGGACCGCCTCCGCAGCATCATTGCCCCAACACTGACAGTAAGTCACGCATAGTGGATGAATTGGATGCCTGTGAGACTGTCAGCTGACCAAAATAGGTGGATTACACCAAGATCGGGCTCAAAAGATGGGATGACATGTCCGCAGACGACTACATGGCGATGGTGACACACCCTGGATTCCTGGGGGATCCCACCATCAAGACGCAACATTTACTTGGTCAAACTTGGTGGGAGAAGATCTCTGATACCGAGGTCATCGGTCACCACCAGCTTCGTGCTGCGCATCAGGTGTATGAGACGGCTGATCTCCAAGAGGTTAAGTTGCGCGGTCACTCGCATGCTACAAACGAGCACTACTACAGCAAAGTAAATGGCGTGTGGAAGTTTGCGGGCCTTAAACCCAATGTTAGATGGAATGAAATGCGGTTTGAGGAAGTCTTCAGAGGCCTAGACTGAGATTGTGAGCCCAATGGTGGAACTGAGGGGCTGGGATTTACTACTGTCGAAGATGAATAAATACTTGCCTCCAACCCTATACAAAGCTCCCGAGAATGGAGAGTCACTCACCGGATTCTTCTGATCAATGCATCCTTTGGTTGCTTTAGGACCATGCCCCAGCCACGTTACTGTCCGTTTTCTTTCACAGAGAGTCTTGACGGATCTTCTGATCATGTAGAATTTTCATCAACCACTTGCATCGGATTATTATACGCAACTCAAGTCCGGGAGGCTCGCCACTAAGCTGTGCGCAGGACCATGGGGTCAAGAGTCCGGATTATTGAGGTCCGCCGGTGTTTATTCCTTTTTAGAGGAAATTTTGTGACAAAACCGACCAGAGAGGTTCTCAATGAAAATCCAAGTAATTTTCATAGCAAATGTATTGAGAGAACAGTAAAATTGCCAATGAGGTTGTTGAAAGGGGTTCGTTTATTGCTGGAATTCATCCGGTCTTTAGAAAAAGGCTTCAACAAATGTCACACCGACTCCGATACCATTCTGTGTTGGACACAAAGCGAACCCAATGGGAGCGATGGATCAATCGAAATAAAACAGGCCCATACTGACTTAACATGGGAAATCTGCAAACTGAAGGTACACCTCGGTGTGTTTGAGAATGAATTCGGCGAGGGAGTACGAGTCTGCGATGTGTCGTTTTTGAGACCGGCCGTCGGGTTCCTTGTTCATTTCCTAGCTTTTCGTCGAACATTTGGTATTGTCGAACCAGCAAGGATTTCGTGTGGAAACAGTCTAAAAGGCGTTAAAGAGGCCTGATTGTACTGCTGAAAGCTCTTTTTATTCAATCTATTGCGATGTTTTTTTGTCTTCATTTGGTCCTCCAAGTCTAGTCGGGTCGGGTCTAATTTACAACCAATCTCGAGCTGCTTACGAGCTCCAAAAGGCTTTCTGCAATGCATCACACATCAAGGTGATACACCGCTTACCTTCAGACAAGGCTCCGTCCATGGCAAGGAAGGGGTGTGGCATTCCCTTCATAACCTGTAGATCCACCTCCACACCCGCTTTTTGTAGCTTTTCAGCATACTGTTCGCCTTCGGATCGAAGTACGTCCAATTCGCCGACCATGACCAGAGCAGGGGGCAATGGAGACCAGTCACCATTGTAAAAGAGAGGACTAGCCTCGGGGTTAGTCCGATCCGCCTCTTTGGGCAGATAGTGATCGCGGTACCAGATCATCTTGGGGGCGGACAATGCCGGAGTGTGTTCGTATCGGCGATAGGACTCGTTGTTCTCCACAGTGGCGGTATTGTCGGTGACGGGGACCGAGAGCAGTTGGGCACGGAACTGCACGGGGGGCGAGAGAGTCAATCCCTTGTGGGTCATGATAGCAGCCAGGTTACCCCCGGCCGAAGACCCGCCCGTTGCGATTTTGGACATGTCAACTGATAGCGTGGCGGGACCCTCGGCGACCAGCCAAAGCAGCGCTTCCCAGCAATCGTGGACGGCAGCGGGGAAAGGGTTCTCGGGAGCCAGTCTATGGGAGGTGAGCACGAGGCACATGAAGCAAGCAAGGGACACACTCACCGGTAGTCCACCGTCACCACCACGCAGTTACCACGCACACAGAGATTCGAACAGACCACGTTCTCCGTGTCAATGTTACCCAGAACCCAACCTCCGCCATGGAAATATAGCATGACCGGCCACCCACCGGCGGGGGTCTCTCCCTTGGGAGTGAAGCAGCGAATGGGAACGGAAGGGCCATCGGTGACTCGCCGTTGAATGGAAAGATCCTGGGTTTTGCCCACCTCTAGCATCGGTCCCGCACCGGGGATCAAGACACCACTGGTCCGTGACGCTGCGACGGGTTGTAAGTGGACCTGCTGATTGTTGATAACGTGTTTGTTGTAGAAGGCGACATATTCCGGGTCCAGCAGGTCCCGAACGGACTCGTGGAGTGGGTAGGGGGGTTGTGCAATGGTGGCAGACATAGTGAGGATCTATCCTGAAAAAAAACCCCCAAAAGATACAGAATTCCAAGGGCCAGGGGTGCAAATAATAAATGGTTAAATCCCGCGGAGAGGGCCAGTCACCCCCACGCAAGGGGCGGGATACGAAGTGCGGGGGGAAACAACGAGATACAACAATCCTCACGATAAGCCTGCAAAAGCCCAAGTTGAGTAAAGATCGCCTGGGCGTGTGGGCGCGCCACACCTTTGCGTTACATGGAAATCCCCTTCTGGCTACCACGTCTTGCATCTTCGTTACGTTTCCAATGGGTCCGTTTCCCCGTGCGTGGGATGTCTTCATCCACTTGTAAAAAGGGACCTTAGCTATGCTTCTGCTCCCATTCTTTTCTTTCCATCCCCTCACGCCTACAAGATGACTACCAAGACCCCCGTGCTCACCGACAAGGCCCCCAAACCTCTACCGGGTATTTACTCGCAGGCTATCGTTGCTAATGGTGTCGTGTACTGTTCCGGTGCCGTTCCAATGGATCCTATCACCGGGAAAATTGTTGATGGCGATGTCAAGGCCCACACGGTTCGTCAGCTGCACCTCCATAGTACTACGTGAAAGCTAAATCATGCTGTACATGAATAGCACCAATGCATCAAGAACTTGAGCCATATTCTTGAGGAAGCCGGCACCGATATCAACAAAGTCGTCAAGGTCAACGTCTTCCTATCCAACATGGACGATTTCGCCGAGATGAACTCAGTTTATATGCAGTACTGGGGTGATGTAAAGCCATGTCGGACGTGAGTTTTTATCTTTGCATCTCTACCTATGCTTGGCGATCTTTTTCCTCGTGCATGCGGGTGACACGTTTCTGCATATTATAAGCGGTGGCTAATATATGGGATCTTGCAGGTGTGTTGCGGTCAAGACGTTGCCGCTGAACACTGACGTGGAAATTGAGTGCATCGCCGTGCTATAGCGGATATTTGAAATCAGGATAGAAATAACCTTGGAAATTCAATGTTCGTACCCCTAGTACGGAGTCCAGCAATATATTACCTCCGATAGAATCGAGTTTCCGAGAAACATCCAAATGTCCTTACCTAGGCACACAAGTCGAAAGTGGAAATAGGAGCCTTGCAGCTCTATTTTATTACTTTCAGCACCAGTGTAAGAGGTTGTATCAGCTCAAAGCGCAGCTATCTCGAACACATCATGGTGATTCCCTCTATTGTCGCCTTTTATGAGGCTCTTGAAACTGTCGAGTGTGACCTCCTGTCCTCGAAATGACATATTTGAGCCCAGGCGTGATGCTTTTGAAGATTTGGAGAAAAGTACTGGGGTATCATAGCCCTTTCATTTTTTCCTGAAAGCATTCATGAATTTCTAGAAGGAAGAGATCATATAATCTCCTAACTCAACCTACAATCATGAATGCTCAAGGCCCAATCAAGGTCAGAGGACTCCCTGTATCAAGAATGGAAATTCCTAGCATGACTTGCCTTTCTCATCTTTGATGATTCTGGCCTTAATGAGTCGCAAATGTGACAAAATTAGGCGTGAACATCGCCGGGCAAGCCCATAGTACTCGATCTGGAGGGGTTGTTACTACCCGCCTAAAGGCTGACAGCACCATTTGGCTCTTGCTAGGCAGTGGATCTACATATCGCAGCTTCTATTAGAGCCAGACTGGGCTAGTCACTGTAGCTTTAGGTCCATAAAACAGCCAGCACAGCACAGGTGGTAACTTGAATCCTCAGGTCCTTGGTGCCGGGGTTTCCGAGTGACTAACTAGCGAAAGTGCCTTGGGCTATTGCGATTAAAGGTAGGAGTTAGTAGATTCTGCCGTTATTGAGAAGATTATGCCCAAGAGTTGCACCATCGAAATATTCGGGCTTATTTAGTCCGTCAATAGCCGACCCTGGCTCGTATGCGGGTCAAGAGTTCGACTGCCGATCAATTCCAGTGCACAATTTTCCCGAGAAGCTGAAAGCGAGGCCCGTCCTCCGGAAAAAATGCCATTCGCACTGGACATGGGAGCAGGGATCAAAGATATTTGCTGAAATGTGGAGTTTCCCGGTCCTGCACGGACCTGAATCATTTGTACTTAAGAGGTGACTACATCCGGTCGATCAATATATATGAATACTTCAGGTCCGCAACCAAAATTTTTGAGGGAATTACATTGAAGATTCAACAGGCCATGTTTGCTTTTCATCTGTTTTCGGCGTGGCTCTTGGCTGTCGCTGCACCGGCTTCCGGACTGAGTTTCAATATCCCGACATCCCCACCATCGAATTACAGTGCACAACTTTCAGCCGCTCCAGTCGGTATATCGTAGGTAACCGAATCTGCCTTATAGACTTCTACTCACATCGTAGCTTCGAAATTTTTGCATTCCCCGAGTATATCCAAGATATACAATCAACGACGTGCTTGAAGAATATGAAAGACTTGACGGGAACATGGCCACCTATAAGAATTGGAGGCACGACTCAGTGTGTACAGATATTGATCGATCGGAAAGCCTATGCTAATGCTACACAGAGATCGTGCAACATACAATGCGTCGTCAGCGGAGACTGTCAATTACACTGTGGCTAGCACGATCGATGCACCCGAATCTCTGACTTATGGCCCTTCTTTTATTTCCTTAGCTGCAAGTTACGCTGGCAGGGTGATTGTTTGTTTAAATCGCCGATTGGATAAACTATCCAACATAGCTTCTGCAGCGCTTCTCATTCAAAGCCAGATAAAAAACCTTTATTCCGTTGAACTTTGAAACGAGCCTAATTGTAAGCTTCAGACGCTTTTTTGATTTTGATATCTCTCTATTACCCCCAGAACTAGACACTAAAGAGCTAATTAAGGGTCCGGATAGTTTACGTTGCAAGTGATCCTATTGCCCAGGGAAAATCCTGGACAGCTGCCACAGACGAGGCTTCCCAAGTAAGCTGGCAAGAAACCGTCTGCGGGAACCTATCATCATCAGACGTTATCTCTGCAGGAGTCTACTTTGGCACTCCTCCAATGAGTGTAAAAGACCTCGCATCCAGAGAGGAGAGTACAAATAGCCGTGTCAAAAATTATTGCTCTCACAACTATGGCCAAAAATTGCTCAGCAATTGGTCGGCCTGTCTATCTTTAATACGTATGCTACTTATTTTTGTGAGTTGGTACTATATCTTGCCCATTGCGTCTCCTCCGATTAATATCACCACTAGTTCAATATGCCGGCAGCAAAGATCCATTCTTAGTCACCGTCATTCTTTCATGTGTTCAATTGCTGTCTATGATCGTTACCGCTGTCACTACGGATAGGGTTGGACGACATCCATTAACTATATACCCCTACGCAGTGACATCAGTGTCGGTTCTGTGCCTAGGAATCATTGGCTGTTTTGATTATACGAAGCCCTCGACAAGCTCACTTCTAGTAAGCCCCTACTAGCTCCAGTTCGGAGAGTCTTTCCAAATTTTTGTTGACGGTATGACGAAGATCTTCTTTGCTTGCTTGGCAACTCTGTCGACAACTGGTGCGTCAGCAATCGGTTATGCCTACGCCGCTGAAATTCTCCAGCAGCGCTTACGCGCAAAGACAACAGGATGGGCACTCGCTTCTTCGAATGGGATTGCCATTATGTTTAACTTTTGCACGCCATTGATGATCAACAATCCTCCGGTATCCAGTTGGGGTGTTAAAACCGGGGTTTTGTCAGTATTATAGGAATTTCCACACCATAACCAAAACAATCAACTGACTATGTTTCCATACAAAAAGCTTCGCCGGCACGGGTACACTTGCTGTAATAGTTGCTTGGTTCATTCTTCCCGAAGTAACACGAAGAACACCCGCTGAAATTAATGAGATGTAAGTCAGATGCAAGCCCAACCCATGCCCCGAGTTCTACAATTTCGTTATATTGTCTAGCTGACATTTTTGGCCCCGAAAGGTTCGAGATGAAAATCAACCTTCGCCACTTCAAGGGATATATTACGGATATCCAGATTCGTGCAAATGATCACAGGTGCTAGACAGACTTTTATAATCTTTTGGCGTAAAATGAACCCATATGCAATCATAATCAGAGTGAGTTTCAATCATTTAGGCATTTCGACATCAAACTACTGCATCTTGTTCTGTCGAGGAAGAATTGCGTGAAGAAACCACATTGAGCCAACTCAAATCTTGCTCAATGGAGTGGGCGAGGCAGCAAATTCTCCTCATACTCAAAATAGCACCTTAAATTACGCAGAACTTAACATATCCCGAAAGGCAGTTCCAAAGGGGTAGTCTCTTGACTAGCTCAGGCCATCAAATTCGCTTCCTGAAGAAGCTAAATATTAGTGCAAAGCTTTTCAAATTGATTATTGCATATCTTTATTTAACCATGCCCGATTTTCCACAGACATTTAATGACAAATACTATATGGAGAGAGCTAGAATAAGTGTCTCTTAAACCCCATAGCTTAGTCTAATGAAGTTCACCACACCATGCTCCTCATAATTTTTTCCGGGTAATCGGCTTACAACCTCAATAGGCTTTTCGAGCGTGAGCTCCACAACTTTTATCTTACCAGAGACACACTTCCATGAGACTTTGGCCATGTTGTCCTTGCCAAGTGCTACCTTTGCTTCTAAAGCCCCAGTGAGCCCAAGCCGCGGCTTGAACAAAATCTTGGACGAGCCCGACGCCACTGGCTGAATACCGGCTAGCTCAGTGCAATATTCGTAGATTGGCACACTTCCCCAAGCATGACAGTCTGAGCGTTGCCTGACATCGTCCTCCTCCCAAGTCGAAAGGTTATGAGCCAACATCTTGCGCCATGGTTCCCACATACGAACCCAGAATTGTTCGTAAAATTCATCACCAGCCAAGGCAAGTGCCCTGAATGCATAAAAACACATCATGTACGAGCACTTTGAGAAGCGATCGTTTGAGAATGATTCTGCTAGAATACGTTCATGATCCTCAGAATGTGCTGCTCCTGAGATAACAGCAAAAACCTGGCAGTATTGAGAATATGATAGCTCATCAGCGACATTGGCAGTTGAGTCAGTAAAATACTGTCCATCCTAGCAATGCGCACGAACGGCTTCTAGAAGCGAAGTTGCACGTGCTTCGTACTCGAATGCATGGCCCGGTCTGCCAACATCGCGCACGAGCCTGGCAACCTTCTGTAGAACCCATGCATAAAGCATACTAAAGTAGGTGTGTCTGTTTGATTTTCGTCCGGAAGTTGGGACACCTTTGTCTGGATGCTCATTGGTCGCTCCCCAGGTTGTTACCCAGTCAACATATTGCCAAACAGCCTCTGGTAGTCCGCTGATTAAGCCAAAGTGGTCAACATGCGCATGAAAAAATTCAAGTACACCGTCTATGCGCGGAATGAGGCCTCGTGCAAACCGTGTGTCACCGAAAAATAGGTGTTGGTCGCAGACTTGTAAGATCCAAAATAGAGAGAACCCAGCAATCACTTGCGGCACATGCGAGGGGAATTGAGACTGTGTAAGTCCCTCTGGTGTGACTGAAGCCGCGAAGTTTGTAATGGCTTGTCGCATGAGCTGGTCGTCACCGGACAAGAGGTAGTGGAATAAGCAGACAGAGCGACTGTCTCCAGGGTATCTATTCATATTATTAATCAAGTGTCTCTTATCTCTGGAAAACAACGCTTACTGTAGCTGTTCATAGAAAGGGCAGTCAGAATACCCATCAAACATACAAGTGCGCATAGTCCGGATTGATACGTCCCAGATTTGTTTACTGTGCGCATCTCCGGGCTCCTTCCAACTGGCTTTTACAGCCATTGGGTAATTAACTTGGGTAGCATCAAATGATAGTAGCGTAATATGATTTCGATGCGCAAGAGACGGAAAGTACGGAACCAGAATGGCTCATAGATAACGACTTCTGAGCCCGGGAGATCGAGCGTCAGCTCATCGTAAGGGCCAACAATATGACCGACACTTGCATCTAATCGATCCGCCTTGGACCGGAAGAATGGATATGAGCGAGGCTCCAATTAATATCCTTCCGAGTATGTCACCCGCATGGTGAGTTGAGAATGGCTTTTAACAGCCTTGAAAGACCACCGCAGAAATGCGGTTGAGTGGACATCCGCTTGAACCTCAATTGTATAAGTGGAGCTTGATGAAAGTGGCAGGGCTTGATGTTCAGTAAAAAAAGCGGTCCAACTGTCCGCGTCAATGGCACCTTTGCAAGTTCTAACATTGTTGAGAACAGCTGGCGTTGACTCAGGCACTGGTATCGACCGCGGGTGTAAGTTCCAAGGCGGAATGTCCCCGTTGAGTGTTTTAATATTGTATGCAAGTGACTTCAAAGGTAGTTCAGGCTTCGTTGGGGATATGCGCTCACTGATCTATGAAATTAAGGTCAGCATAGGGAGGGAATACTCGGCCAAGATCGTGCCTTACGTGGAGAAACACATCGTCGGCCAATCCCAATGGAAATTGAATACTGTTGTCTACATATGATTCCCAGGCTGTCAAGCAACTGAGGTCAATAACTTCTGAACTCGTCTCGATGTGCCCAATGACCGTCAATCCAGGAAGAGCCGTTCGCTCGAAGGCCATCGCACTCCGCGATGCCGCAAAGTAGCGAACCACGACGAAACGTATCTCATTATGTCCCGCTTTCAGATACGGCGCAATATCTAGAGTTTCATAGTAGCAGATTAATAGGCCACTTCTGCTTGGACTGACAGCCACATGCTTCCCGTCGATGTAAAGCTTATAACGTGTGTCGGCCGAAAAATGCAACATCGATCGCGTCGGCTTTGAGATTAAACTGAAAATACGAAAGAAGTGGACGACTCTTCCGGCTGTGTTATTTTCTGAAGAATCCACCCAGTTCGGGACCCAAATCCAGTTCGCTTGAAGGTCACGGATGATCTGAATCGAGACCGATAAGTCAGTAATCGGCTCAAGATGACTGAAGAGATCAGGTATACTCCTTACTTGTTGTTCCGCTTTGGACACCATTTTTACAGATTTTGGGTCGCCCATGGTCACCAGGGATGTGCGAACGAATTTATAACTACGTGTCGGCGGGGACAAGCCGACGGGTCTTGGGTGAGCTCATCCCGAGGAAGGTTTATTGTGACATTCAGGCTGAATGAGTCCGCCAACTTTTGATGTAGAGAAATACTTTCGGGCCTTTTCAGAGACAGAAGGTTCCAGGATTTAATCGGGTTTCAAGAGTCAGAATGCGGCATTCCTTGACTTTGGGCTGCACAATGTGATCAGAATGCCATGGCTCAGGCTGGGGGACTCCAGAAAACGTACCATCTCGATTGTGAGAACATGAACAATCGAAACGTTATTTAGATAATTTTTCTTGATGGAAACGAGGCGTACAGCATGGCGAAGCTCACGATCGACGGAGAGGACATATGTGGAGAAAGCAAGATCTGAAAGGAGTTGGTAGTTATGGGCCAAAAAAGGGACGACGGATTCTCTCCTAGTAGCAACGAGGTTGGGCTGCACCTGCGTTCCTAACCTCCTAACATTGTCTCGAGCGTGGTGACTACTTACAATGATCTTTTCAATAATTTGTGCAGATGGCCGTGCTCTCGATTCATCCAGCACCAGCTCTCGACCCACTGCCGCTTCAGCAACTGCCGGCATCGACCCACAATAACGTCTTATGATCCAGTGAGGGTTGTTGACTACACCGAAGCCGAGTTCGCCCTAATTAGCATAAACCCTTCACTCTCTCTAGTGATTAAGAAGTCAGATTCACCTGAAGCATAGTTAGGTTAGATAGAACAATGATCTCTTTTTGGAGGAGATCTTCTGGAGCATATTCAAGGAAGAAGCTGGAGAATTCGATAGTAGACCATCAGAATTATCAAGGCCTACTATTATCACGTGGCTTCACAGGTCGCCTTGCGAATATACCAGAGCTAGTACCGATTCGTGATGAGGAAAGTGGGCTATATAATATGCATGATTTACACAATTGATCAAGCTACCAGTTTCATAGGTGTTACTGGAATGCGGCGAAGTTTGTCATAACTCTTCTTTGTGTTTCAAAGAATGAGAATAGTCAAAGCCAGTCTCCTTGACATAAATTTCCACCGCCAGCTTCCAACAACTTGGTCAACACTCCTCGCCTCACCCACGCATCTCATAGCACGTACATTCTTTTCGGAGAATCGTCCGGTTTAGCATTTTTGGGTACCACCCGTGCCATTTGCCCACGATAAACTGCCTCGTGAACCCTTTTGACGAGTCATTGCTTCTTTACCACCTGCTAGATTGACTGGAGCGGAAGTCTCTGTGTGACCCGCCTATGCTTGGTCCCAAATTCTATCTCATCCTCACCATTGGTGCCCTAAGATGCCTAGAAGACTTGGAAGACCTGGCCAATGGATTGTTAAATATCGGACGATACTATGTGACAAACTATTTCATGACTGTATCTGCACGGCCACGTGCAGTCTAACGTATTAATCGCTCACTACATTCCTGGTACTTGTCGCCAGAACGCGGCTTTCTTGACGTCAAGAATCGTGGTTCGTGCTGCCTACGCTCTGGTCTTACACTACAGTGAGAGGCGCGGTCATTTCAGTGACTTGGAGTCCACAGATAGAGAGAGAGTTTGGAGAGGGGAGGTTTCCTGTCCTGGACTTATTTATGAGCTTGTTCCTCCGCTGTACCTTGTTTAGAAACGAGTTGCAAGATACCTAGTATTATAAATAGCCTATATTATCTAGTGAATTCTTGCTGGAGAGCCAACATTGGGTCATATCCCGCACAGTCAGAGTACACCAAGGATATCTACAACGCACCTTGTCTAACATAAAAGCGAAAAGCCAGAACATAGGGTAAAGTAACAGCTCTATGACGTAGTGCTATGAAGACCATGCATGAAAAGATACCATATCAGTATTCACTATAGGGAAGATAAATCATGAGCGATGAAAGAGGTAGCTTGAACAAAACCCCTATTGCGAAGCATGGGAGCGGTTAGTGAACGCCACCACATCTATCGTCGGCGCCTTCCCCTTATGCCACCTGACTCGAGGCTTTAGGCCATGATTCACTCCGCTTTCATTCCCTAATTCCATACGCTATTTCTGCTAATATTCTTAGATGTTACTGTGACAGGAGGGTTAAGGGAAAATGGAGCATCAACAGGACAGTAGAGACCCCCATCACATCGAGCCTCGTCAGATAATAGCAACCATGACCTGGACATCACGAGTGATCGAGACCCCGATCCTTGTCATTATTTCTTATCTCGTCTTGACATGTAGTTTGGGCTCTGATTGAATGGAACCGAACGGGAATATGACCCGATGTGGCGTCATACTTAGAACAGACTAGTTTTTTGCACTGACAACAACTAATCCCGACTAGTATACTGAAGGAACCCCGCACCCTCGAACTAATGCAACCCTAGGCACCGCAATTTAGATGATACAATTCTTTCTGCCCCTGGAATATACCTAATCTTAGGGTTGGCACTGATTTTCAGGGTTTTTGAATAATTAGCGATACCACTATGGCCCGATTATTTCGTGTACCCCAGTACAGGCTTGTTACATTCCTCTTCATGGCAAAAGTTCAATGGCGGGAGTAGATAGACTCTACATAAAATGAATACTTTGAAATGATTGAGAATATGGTAGAAATAGCAAAAGATTCAAACTCTTGTAGAAATATCGTTCATATGCCTTGGTATGCACCAGAGGGTCTATTAGGGGAATACCGCTTCTAGGCAGGAATGTGGGTCTCCCCTGATTATAAATTCGTTCGCTTTACAATCTAGACCGATTAAGACAGTAAAGCCGAAAAAAACACGCTAGTCGATTCCTTTTAATTTGTCGAACCCATTCATTGAGCGCTACAGCCAAACTTGCTTGGAGCAACTGAGCTCCGGGGGTGCCTCCTTCAAACCTTAATGAAGACTTTTCGGCTTATCACCGCGACTTTTGAGACCCAGATAGAGTTATCTTCCGAGAGAAAACCGATGTCGTACAGTGACAGTAGCGTGCACACCTCATGGTAGCATGACTCGTGAACATGTTTGTGTTACTCTGCACACAAAGAGTCTCAAAGTGGGCGGCTGGTTTCAACTAGCTCTGGCAGCTTTCTCATTGAATGTTCATGAAAAAGGCATCGAAGTATTGCAGTACAGTTTATAGGCCTCGGGAAAGCGGGTTAGGACAACCATTCAGCAGGGATAGAAATTTCCTAATCCAGAAAGAGAGGCTTTCATACTGGGTTCATTTCATATCACCGCAAATCGACGAGGTGTGCGCATATGGCTTTTGATCACAAGAGACTTTTGAAAGTGCCATGAGTTTTATGAAACTGAGGCCAAGATATATGCAAATGGCATAAATTAAACCAATAAAAATAATACATCCTACTACTGCAATCTAGGTAAATACTTGGAAGTCAAGGTTTCAAATACTCAGTTCTCTTATGGTAACGTGTATCTACATGTGCCATGTTTTGTTCCAAGGTATATGTGATGTGTAAAATAGAACACAACCTCCGTCAACTTCAGCTCGAAGACAAAAACTCAAATGGATGTTTCAGCGAATGGATAGCTCTAGAAGAACCTTATCAGGCCTATACCCAAATTCAGAGGCCGACAGAAAGAATGGAAGGTGACTTTAGTCACTGGACCTCGGAGGATGTGGAACAATGGCGCGACGCTTGAACTAGCAAGGCGAGCCAGTGGTCAGAATACGCTTAGCCTCCTGGGCATAAGTGCATCCGTTATTGACATTGGAGTCGGAGAATCCTGCAGACCACATCATGATTCCACCAAATGCGGGATTGGAGCCGTAGTTACCGACCAAAGTGGCAAGGGCGCTTGGTTCGAGGTAGTATTGTGCACCGCTAGCGGTTCCTGTGGCGCCATCCGGTGCGGCAGGCACACCAATGAAGATTTTGGCATTGGACGACGGCGTTCCAGCGACGTTCGAGACCCATGCGTCGTAGTTGATTGCGCCGTTAAGAGAGCAGCCAGGGTTGTTATAAAACTGGACCCAGAGGTAATCAAACTGAGAGTTTACAATAATTTGCTGCATGTTAGGCTCTGGGATCGGACACTGTGGCGCACCCGTGATGTAGTAGTTGTTAGAAGGGTCAGATACGAAGTTAGACCGAAGCGTGCTAATCAAATACTGGTAGTACTGATTACCACTGGAAGCCTCGATATCGAAATCCCAGCCATTCACGAAGGTGCTGCCAAAAGGTCGAGGAATGCTACCGTTGCTAGTTTTGCCATATGCATCCCAGAGGTTTTGGCCGATAGTTTCAGCCTCCTGCTGTGAAGATAAAGAGTATGCACCAATGGCTCCACCGAGTGAAAGGATAACTTTGACGCCATTAGCCTGGCATGTGCTAATAGCGGCCGCTAGGGCATCGCACTGCGAGGGCTCGCCGGATGTCGAGATAGAGCAAGACTGGCCAATAATGCCAGACGCAATCTCGTTGCCGTTGCCGTATTCGTATAGGAAGGCGAGCACGATGACATCGATGCCAGCAGTCGACATGCAGTACGTGGACAAATCGTTGTTTTCAACGGTGCCACCTCCATTCTGACCCCAGTATACAACGTTCTGGGCGCCAGGTGCACGCCGATTGGCTTTGAGTCTATGAGGCACCGCTGAAACAACAGTAGCTAAGAGGCTCAGGCCGGTAGCCAGAGCTGCGAGGTGCATATTGAATGAGGTCGGTTGGGCTTGAATATAGAATAATGATGAAAATAGTATTTAGAGTCCAACTCTACCGTAAAGGAATGAAGAATGAAACGTTCTTTAAGAACGAGGTGTCTGTGGACTAAAGGAATGTCGTGCGAGTTGGCGATGGTGATGGAAAGAAAGAAGAAAGCAGTGGGATCTGGCTCAATTTATGTTCACCCGACAGAACAACATCGCAATGGACTCTAGCAAATGGAACGTGCTATGTGGGCTTTCCACCCGCAGTCTAAGGTAGTATACACTAACGATCACAGTCTTGTAAAATAGCGGAGGTATTGCCTGGATAAGGGAGGGTAGCAGTCTACCCAGCCAAATATTGTATCCTACCATGGCATTTCGGGCAAATGGGAGATTAAGGTAACTTGTTCGGAAAGTCTGCGGCACCATAGACTCTGTTTCTGAAGAAGCTAAAACCTTGCTTCTACGTTCCCCTGTTTCATCACATCGCTACGGTGCCATGTGTAGACACCTACTGATGTGACGGCGTGAAAACGCAACCCCAAAATCTTACGAATGTCGGATTTCATGCAACAATAAAATCATCCTCCTCTTCTTCGTTGCCATTACAAGATCTCACTTCCTACATTACCGCAACGAAACATCCATGTAGCCTCGAATTTTCTGATCTAACCCTAAGGTCTACTTCAAGAGGGGCCGACAAGGGGCATGTCACCTTTTTTAATTCCATATCATTTGCTGCACCTACGTCCAAGGTCTCAATTGGAATATCTCGATGGGTACGGTATGTTCTGTGTTTGGGTTCTATCTAGCAGACCGTCTCACGGCCCTTAAGTTTAATGGGAGTACTCAGGGAAGTATGAAACGCCCACAGTAGAGAATTTGCGGAAAAATGAAGCGTCTTTCAGAATTCATTCGCAACGGTTGACTGAGAGAAGATTGAGATAATCTATGTAAGTGCTAAAGGAGTTTTCCCTATACTCTATTGTCAACTGTAGTAAGCACCTCACGGTTTTTTACACGATCATTGGCCTATAGTGCGTGCTCCAGCATACCCGGTGCGTATCCGTTAGAGTACACCCTATTAAAAATCAAAAGCTTCTAGGATTTTATAATCTTGACTTCTCTAAATAATAATTCGGCAATTTCCCGATTTTTGGACTATAAGATATTACTTCTATCAGTCGCATTGAATTCTAAAAGTCCAAAAGAAGGCTTTTATCGAGAGGATAGAGATATATCAGGCATCTACCCAATTCATGACAGTTTTTCACCACATTTCTTTATTCATGGTACGACATTAAGAGTAATACGCAGTGACTCTTCCAGACGAACCTCCACCCGCCTCATACAGAGCCTGGGAGTGGTGGTGTGTTCTCCTAGTCGATGTTGCCCAGCCTGCGCTACCAGACAGCCATCGAGCCACCCCCATTTCAATACATAATTAAAATAGGACTTTAATCCTATCGCACCCCATTCGCGGGTTTTGGCGCAGACTAGATGCTGAATCTTCCAACTACGCGACGTCAATGCCGGGTTACATCGGGTAGGCCTATCTGCAAGCTATGATCCCTTGGGACTTCTCCCACATAGTACTTGTGTCATGAAAAATGCATGTTTCATTCTCGCACATAGTTATTCTTGAGACGGGCTGCGACAGTTTGAAATAAGGACAATAAAACAAAGGGATATCCCTATAACCCTACCACATTACAGAGTGTAAGCGACATATTTACTGACACAGGTCCGCCGTCAGGGTGACTGGCTGGGGGCACCCATAGACCTTCTTATGGGCTGGGGTACTGTAGCAGGCGGCATCATTCGCCGCACAGTCAAAGACCTCACAGCCGTCCCCGGGACTGAGCGAGTTGGGATTCGCTGCGAAGGGGTTGCCCCATTCCGTGCTCAGTTCATCTTGAAGAAGGATCCGGTCAATAAAAGATTCCTAGCTAACAGATAGATTAGGTGCACTCACAGTACGCGTAGTCCGGGTTGGACGAGAACGAATAGCCCAAGAAGAGAGGTGTGTCCAACGTCTTTGTCTTGGCGATCTTCACGGTCTGCACATTCCATCTCCGGTCAGTTTCCCTTGCTATATGGAGTATTGCCAAACCGAATAGTATGGAGTAACGTACCGAGCCAGATGCTCTAAATTTCTCGGAGAAAGTTTCCCCCTTGGGAACGGTGGTGAGAGGGCCGGGGGCACTGCCATCGTAAGGGAACGACTGCACATACACGGTGGTGGCACAGTGATTGTGCACGACGGCATTCTGGGCCGAGACCAGGCCGAGGAGGGCACCAAATGTGATTAGGGAGGTCTTCATGGTTGGTATTTTGCTTTTTGTTTTGCAACAGAAGCTTGGATTATTTGTTTCCCTCCTGACAAGAGAAGGAATTAGCGGTATTTATATAGATATGTTGCTCGGACCATAGGTAGTAGCGATGATGTACCGATGGAGTACTTCCGGGATGCCTGACAACCCAAGACATGGAATGGGTGCCATGTCTTGGATTGTCAGGCCACCGCCCGAGGTCGGTCCCACGGCCAATCAACACAAGTGACAGGTGAGACATGCGCATCACCGCCCCTGCATGTATGTACTTCGCATCAAAGACATCGCACCGGGTAGCGTTACATCCACCCCGTGACCCCGCCAATCACTTAACACTGGTTAGAGCTTTTGTTGATGATTCTTCACGTGAGCAAATAATGATTTCAGCGGCGTGAAGGACCTACCAGAATCAAGGAATTCGTCGGTTTAGGATCGAAGATTCAATCAGTTTCTCCGCTCTCGTCATCTATGCGTACCCCGCTTGAACACGATGGAGGATGATGGACCCGCCAGACCCGAGGCTCTCTCCATCCGTCACAAGGTGCCTTCGTAGTTGAGCGTACAGACAAGGGAAATGGGAGAAGGGCTCTGATACGGAGTAGATTCCTCCTTCTTGGGCCAACATGCCCCTTGGTCGACTGGTCCATACCAAAAATCCCATTTTAGTCATGCGGTCACCCCACCTGGTTTAAGTTCGTGCTGTACACAGTGACCCACCTTGACGAACTCGTGTCAGAATCGACCAGGGATTTCTGCAGGTGAGAAGGCAGATTCAAACAACCGACTGTCTTTTACTGTAAGGAGGCAAACAATGCAGCCATGAAACCAGTGCCACGCTAATGCACCGTTCTAGTATAGGGTGTTAAGAAAGAGATGCTGTTCTGCTGACTATAAATTGGCATCTATGCTACGAGGTGCCACGCAGCTGATCAGTCACTCAGGGCGACTATTAATTAGACCTGGCACTTTCCTGGCACTCGCCCGCGGGTGAGTGCCAGCGCGGGCGAGTGCCAGGTCTAATTAATGGATGGTGGGGAAGTTTTGGGAGACTGCTGACCTAATAAATCGAGAAGCGGAAACTGAGGTGTCGAATATGGCTAAACCTAGACATTAACATGGGCCCCGCGGATCCCAAGTCAGGAACCTCCACCTGCGGCGCACCTCCGAGGGCCAGGATCCAATCTCACCGACCCTGACCCTGACCCTGACCCTCTAAGGGCGCACCATGCCGAGGCCTACCTAAAACTACCTTAATATGAAAAAAAGTGTTAATATCTCAGTTTAAGATAGACACTTAGGTATCGTATAGTATTAAGTAGCCTAGAGTTTTAGATATCAGACTTTAGGAGGGTAATTAATTGAAATAAAGGGGTTTTGCTATCGCATGCTTCAAATATATATTAAGATGGGGATGGCTCGATGGCTCTCTGACAAAGCAGACTGGACAGCAGTAACCAACAGACAACACACACACAACCAGCACGTAGTATAGGTCGTCCTGGGGGAGGTCGCAAGTGTCCTTGGTAAGGCCGTGGGACCATACGGGCAATCTTGAACGCAGCAATCCTAAATGAGGCCGTACGGTTTACCGACTGAGGCCATATGGAATGTACTTAATACGGCATCATGAATCAAAGAATACGGTGACAACTGGAATGAATTGGGTAGATGATCCTCCCCTCTCTCCATCCTCATGTAGATGCTATTGCTTACGCCCAAGGTATTCGTGACAACTCAGGCCACAACTGTATTCACAATGCCATGTGTTCCACCACTACAATATCTTTAGTTGAGAGTACCACTTTATTAACCCTTCTAGAAATACTACTTATTCCGAGCTTAAAAACCTATACGACCGATAAATATAATAGTTCATAGTCTACTAGTAGAGATATTACCGAATTATCAATGATTTGGTCGAGATTATAACGTCCTGGGAACTTTTTATTTTTGATGGAGTGCACCACTAACGGACACGCACCAGGGTTCACGGGAATACGCAAGACGGGCCAATGATCGCACGAAGAACCGTAGTGAGCACCTAATACACTTGACGATAGAGTATAAGTCGCCTAGAACGCGACTACTGGAACGCCTCCCACCGAAAAATCATGCCAGACGCGACTAGAACTTTGGAAAGATTGTTACATGCAGCAGAAAAACCTCTACAATTATGCCTACAGCTACCTCTAGCCAGAATCAGAAGATGCGACACGTCTGTTCCTGCCCCTACTCGAGCTGGAGGGATTAGGACAAAGATTGGTTCGTCAGCCAATAATCAGTGAACAAGATCTTCAGAATTGCGAGTGGAGTGCCATGAAAGAACAAATTCTTCCATGGCACTCCGTTTTTAATTCCGAAGAGCCATATCGTTGCCGAGTTGTGGTTGACCCTTCGCTAGTAACCCAGTACCTACCAGAACCGAGCGCGGATACTGATTGCTTAATTGGCCCCTTAAAACCAGAATGAGGTCCAATTTCGATAATCATGTTCTTTGCCGTTGCAACAGATGTCAATTTCTGACAAAGCTGTTCAAAGGCCTGTGAGAATAGGACTGATGCCATCAGGTTCTTCACCTAGTAGTCCGCAGTTAGCGACTCCGTATTGATCAGCTTCCCTTCAACAGTGGAGAGGAACGAAGCCCGAGAGCTCGCATCTGGGCGACCAATT